ACTAAATTTAAATAAATGTATTTTTTAAATTATTATTATTATTATTATTATTATTATTATTATTATTATTATTATTATTATTATTATTATTATTGCCAATTGACATTTGAAATTTTTGTACTAACTTCGATTTCTAACTTATTTTTTTCTGACTCCATCTCTATACATATATGATCTAACAATAACAATTGTGGAGGAAAATCTCAAAAAAACATATATTATATATTATCAGAGGATGGGTTGTTATATTAACACTTAAAAAAAAATGCTATTAATTATGAGTTATGGAAAATATGAAAATATTCTCACCCCACCATGTGTAAACAATTCCAGTCTTTTTCAAAGTTCACAAGCAATCTTTGTCAAGTAGCCTTTTGTATATCTAATAAAACCATTATAATGCATGCCCTACATAATTTGTTATTTATTTATTTATTATATTAATAATTTTTAGTTTTATAAAAGTTTTTTTTTTGGTGAGTAAAGAGGAGCTAAGGAGCCCCAGAGAATTAAGTTGTATGCTCCTAACAAACCATCATTAGTACAACAACATTATCTACCCCCACAACACTGCTGGTAATTAGTTTATTTTAAGTGCATTCCCTAATTAGATATATTTGTAAACGTGTCATTAAACTATTGGAGCGTGGAACTTAGGCAGGGAAATAATTATGGTTATTTTTCTTAGGGGCTAAACATACCTTACTTAAGTCATGATTACTATCATCATGAGAAAGATAGAACCCTAGAATTATAATTGGTTTGTTTTGCCATTTAATTGATGCTTTTAAGTTCTTCCAAGGAAGGGCAACTAGAGAGCAATTGTTAACCAATTGCCTAATTTCTTTCTTTTTTTTTTTTTCTTTGTTAGATCACATTTTTTTTTCAATCAGTCAAATAAGATATATTTCAATATTAATATAATCATGTTCGTATCAGATAAGACTTTAAAGATAGCAAAACATTCTTTTATGAGTTATGAGATAGTTACATCCCCAATACTCAATGTTGTAAAAACAAAAAACAAATTGTTATCCAAATACCTAATTTCTTTGCAATTTGATATGAATTGTAAAATATTCTCTTTGTACCATTTTGGTATTTCGTGTCAGGTTTTGTTAATGAAGTTTGACTATAATAATTTACAAATAAATCTTTCATAGTATTAAATTTAGGATTACTATATAAAATTTATATATTTATAAACTACATCAAAAATACTATAAATAAATTTAAAAATTATAAAAAATAGTAGAGAAATAAGTAAATAATTAATAGTGAATTTTATGAATAAAAAGGAGTATATGTTCAACAAAGTTTTGGATTTCATTTCCAATTGATCTTTACTGTTGTTAGATTTCATTAATTACCTTGGCCACCATGTTGTTTATTGTATTATTATGTTGCATAAGTAATAGGATAATATTCATATATTTGATATGAATGTAAATAGATGACTTGATTCATTAGATTAACCTAGTTAAATTAGTTGTTGAAGAGTCATTATAATGGTCAAATTAACCATTGGAGAATCATTAATGTCGATCAAAACAATTGTTGAAATATTAAATATTATAAATATATATATATTGAAATACCATTATTCTTTATGAGGTGTGATATTGCTAATTCCACGTAAGCAATATTTAAATGATACCCGAGACCAATTAAAGCGAGTAAATGTCTTTATTGATCACGGTAAAGGCCCTAAGTACAATCTACTTGGTTGCTCTGAGTGCCGACTGACTGCGGTCGGGATTCTCTAGTAACAACCTATCGATCGTCCAAAAGTCCCCTACACTGTAGCTACTGTGGGTATTTATAGCCGCTGCGCCGAAGACACAAATCCGGTCGTTCGGCATGCTCTCCACGTAGCCACCACGTGTCATCTTTCCGGGTACCCTATCTGTCGTCGTAAAGAGCCGCCACGTGTCCTTCGTCAGCTCTCTCGCCAAAGGGCTACCGCTCGGTGGTCAACACTATCGCTCGGGCAACTCCCGGTCGGACCCCGACCGAGTTCTTCACATGAAGCCCGACCTGTTACCTGCAAAGACAAAGAGAAAAAGACAAAGGGAGCTCGGTCGGGGTAAAGATATATCGGTCGGGATATTCCCTACCAAGGTGGTATATGTTATATATACTTTCTCAAACATTTTCAGGCAAAAGAACTTAAACCTCAATCATCGGAGTTCGAACGATCACCCATTTGGAATAGTAACTGGGTTGTAATCACACTATATAGTAGTTGACATATAAAATTTATAAAATGGGCCAAGAACATCTAGTGGCACCAAATTACACTCTCATATGGGAGATTGCGGTTCAAGCCTCTGTAGAGGCGATATTAACTCTTTATACTTTAGTAGGTTAAAAAATTAATTATGAACAAATACCCACAATGTAACAGAGTTATGAGAACTAAAAAAAGTATATGAAATGGAATCCAAAGGATACATTTTTTATTACTTAACCCAAAAAAAAAAAAAAAAAAAAGGTTCATAATTACCGCCGAACTTATAGCTAGGGTCGGACAGGATTGAAAATAAGGCTTACATTGGCAACAAAAATAAAATTGTTTAGCTTTGACTTAGTTATCCTTTTCTAGTGCGCCTTTAACGACCGACTTCATCATTTGATTTAAAAAAAAAAAAAAAAACATCCTTAACATACCAAATTATCCAAATTAACCTATAACAAATATAGAAACTAATGCTATATTTTCTATTTTATATTTTTCTCTATTATGTTTACCTCCTTACATTGATTTTCAACCCTGTCCATAACCTATAAATTAAAAATATAGAAAGTTATATTTATTCTATTTAAATCAAACATATCTAAAAATATTTTTAATATAAAGTTTAAAAAGTGCTCGAAATTAAATGTGCATACATTTTAAACATTAGTCTAAACAATAAATTTTGAAAAATGAGTGTTAATACATAAGTTTTATAAGTAGAAAATATAGAATTGAAACTGAAAAAATTAAAAATAAATAAATAAAAGAGTAATGTTATATACCCTTCATCAGTATTTGTATAATGCGTTTTTACCATGCACGCGCCATTTCACATTTTCACGTGCAGTGATTGTATAAGTCCTCGAAACATCGTTAAGGCGTTAGGTCAACAAAGCTGGAAAACGAATCCACGTTGACGGAATGGCGCTAAGTGGCAGTACCGTAAATTACTCCATTCGGAAGGGGGTTAACAACAACAAGACCGCGAATCTAACCGCAAAACACGGCCCGCCAAAAAAACATAAAAAACCGAGGAGGTATCATCATCATCATCGTACGCGCACTTCCGGAACGCGCCAACGATCCTCGGATAATTGCGCTTCGAGATGCGGTGGGGTCCCTTGGGACAGCGCGTGGGGAATTGCTTTTGCACTATTCAACCGTGACCTTTTAACAGATTTAAAATGATGAGCAAAGAGAAAACATTCCAATGACACTATTGCCACTCCCACACGCTGTTTGTCAGATCATCAAATTGACACTTCACCAAACTAACGATGACACACATTTAACCAATTGCCTCAGAATTCAGATTGGATCAACCAAATCTCAACAAAAAAATCCAAAAAAAAAAGGGAAAAAATTCAAATAATTCACTGAAGTTGTTATTTTTGTGTAATTGGACTATTGAACTAAAAAAATGTACAATCAGATCATTAAATATTAAAAATATGTATAATTAATTTTTTTTTTCAGTGAAATTCGAGCATATTGCTTACATAACATGTACTAAGAACTGTCATTCCCTTTGTCATAGTAGTTGGGAGGAATGAGCGAAATGTTTTCAACTCAAATTGCATTAAAAGAAATCTAAAAGAATGTCTTAATTGCACATATTTTGCTTGTATGATGATTCAATTGTACATTTTTTAAGTTCAATGATCCAATTGCACACAAAAAGAAAATAATTTACTTATTTGACATTTTTTTCAAAAAAATAAAGAAAAGAAGAAAAGATTATCATAACTTTGTATTTATTATTGGTCTAACCATATAATGTAAAGTAAATATAAATGTTGTTCTATCCCGAACTTAATCTCGTGAAATATTATAATTCATTAGAAAAATACTGTGAATAAAATTATGATATATGGTAAGACTTGTGTTATTAAAATTTTCATATGAATCTAATAGAACAAATATTTTTGTTGAATGGAGAAACGTGCCAAAAAAGGTTATAATATGTGATAATAGGTTATAGGTGTGATATATTCCAAAGAAATAAATTTGAAAGAGATGAGTAGAAAAGTGGAGAGTTTAGTTAAGAAGATGGTGTGATGGAGACGTACGAATGACTTTTACGTGTGTTTAATGTTAACCATTTCAGCACATGCCAAGGTTAAACTGTTTTTGGCCCATCATTTATTATATTTATTTTTTAAAGGCACAAACTTAATTAAATATATTATAGTATAATTAAAAATTCTGAAGTAAAATAACTGCATAGTTTTCTCTTGTATATTTTAGGTGAAGTGCATTTTATAATTTTAACTGTCAAAAGATCGCAAGAAATAACTTTAACTAAGTTGTCACCAGTTCAAACTAAGTTAATAAACAATTTTTAAGAATTTATCTGACTAACTTAGTTTGTTCGATGAGATCTCATTCTTTTAAATTTTAATCATATTGGACAAAGAACTATAAACCAATTTATATTCCTCATAACTGACTGGAGCCGAACTTGTTACTACCAAGTCAATAGCATGATCAATTTGATTGGGATTGTCTGGTGTAAATATTTTATTTTAAAATATGAGTTCTACTACATGAACTTTCAAATCCTATACTCTAAATTTTACTTTCTGATGTGACGAACACTGATAGATTATTTTTTTTTATGTGGGTCTTAATATAAATGTTTACGTCAAAATTTTGTGTGTAGGAATAAAAATTAGGAGTAGAAAATAGAACTAGATGCAGTATTTTCCTTAAAATATAAGTTCTTATTAGTTTTGGTTATCTAACTTGAGAGCATAGTTGTTGCAGAATGGTTTGTTGGTTGCTACAGAGCAAAGACTGTTTTACAGCCAATTTTGGAGTGTGCGTAGTTATTGTCGAGGTAGACCACAGCGCAGTCTTCAAAGCAGAGAGAGAGAGAGAGAGAGAGAGAGAGAGAGAGAGAGAGGTGGGGGAAAATACAATAGTCTGGTAAACTGGTCAGGCCACAGAGAAGCCTTTTCCTTTTCTTACTTTGCTTTTAGAAAAGCAGACATTCATGTCTCTCATTTTTCTTCTCACCCTACCCAAACTTGCTTACTCATCTCTCTCTCTCTCTCTCTCTCTCTCTCTAGGTTGGGGTTTTGAAGAGGAAGAAGGAGAAGATCATTACAGTTTATGATGAATATGTGCTGCTGATATTTCCCTCCTGCATTTCCCTTCTACTTTGTAAGTTCCATTCATATACTTCCATACTTCTTCTGGGTATCCAACACTTTCATTTCCATGGATTATTTGCTAACAAATAATTTCTTTCATTAAAAAAGAATGGTGTATTATATATGGGTGTCCACCAATTTCATTTTCTTGTTAATTTCTTGAAAGAAAGAAAAAATCTTGCATATTTCATTCTTTTGGGTTGTTTTCTTAAATTCTAGGGTAATTTCATGTAATTTGGTTTGTTTACTTGTTAAAAAAATCTCATCTTTCCTCATTTGTGCCCTGTCTTAAGTATCATAACTATGTGTTTCACAAGGAAAGTATCTTGTCCTATGGCCTAAACTATTGACATTGTATGTATGCATATTTCAGATGGGTAACATTATTATTTTTTATTTGTAACTAATATTGGATTTTCTGAGGAAATAAGGAAATTCATGTTTGGTCTAATAGTATCCAGGATCTCCATTTATAGTAGTGAAAACAAATTTCCCCAAAACAACCACTCATCACCATCAGCAAGAAAAAGAGAGATTGACATTTGGTTTTCATCTGTCTTCAGAAAAACAGAAATAAAATGTTATCTTTTCCCATTCCTAGGTGAAAATCAAATTTCTGAAGATGATTTCTTTAAAAAGAAACAAAAAGATCTTATACCTCTTTCTTCTCTTTTATGTATGCATTGATTTGGTTTCTCTGATCTGATTGGCTATATGTTCCTTTTTATTCTTAAAAAAGTTGTTCTTTGTGAGAAGAGTGTATTCACAAAGTTTCGGTAGAGCTTGGCTTCAGGTAGGTGGCTTGTTAATCGTTATGGTTTAGTTCACTAAGAACTCATGTCTTCGATCTTAGGAACCAATTTACAGTTCACCATCATAGTATCTTTTCTAATTATTATGTCTCTTCTTATAAAAGTAGTTGGGTGCTTTTTATGATGAGATTGCAATCCTTCATAGTTCATATGCAGCTTTACATTTCTCTGGTATCTTATAGCTGAAGGCTTTGTTTCCCGTTACTGTCTAGCTCCTATGATTTGTTGACTTTCATCATCAATATGTTTTTTTTTTTTTTTTTCTTTTAATACTGGATATTCTGTTTTTCTTTTAGCCACGACATTAGGCCATCTTGATTCATCTGTTACGTATTTAAATTTTGATGAACAGAACATAACTGGGAAGATGACGAAGGTAAGTCCAGAATTTGTAGGGGGCGAGGTGCAGATGTACACATTTAAATCGGTGTCAGCAGACGTGAGCTTTGCTTCTAATCAGTTCCCCAAATATAAGTTGGGGCCTGATTTTCAAATTTTAGAGGAGGCGTTATTGGAAAACAAAGGCCCATCCCTAAAGGAGGTTGTCGAGGAAGAAACTACTAGGCTAACAGAGCAACACAAGCGTCTCTCTGTTCGTGACCTGGCTAGCAAATTTGACAAGAATTTGTCGTCTGCTGCTAAATTGGCTAATGAGGTTCCGAACTACCTACCACTTTCAGTTCATAATACTAATTGCATCTACCCCCAACTAGCTTCTTAAGAATAAAATTGTTGAGCCCGCACGAGCTTAGGTCACTGGTTCAGTAGGCAGTATTTGGGGGAAGAGACGAAGGTTCGAAACTCGACAGGGGTAATGTGGGGATTATGCCCAAAGTGGGCAGATCCCTTATGCACACTGGCATTTGGCCCTGTCTACTGAGCTACTGAGTTACCGTGATTTACATTCTTCCAAATGCTCTGTCGGGCTGAGGTGTGGGGGCCCCAAGTTTTTTCATTTCCTAGATTTATTCTTTAGTTTTGATGATAAAATATTAGCAAATAAGCTCTAAAAAAATGTTGTAAATGGATTTCAGGCTAAACTAAGAGATGCACCTTCTTTAGAGGGACACGTACTTTTGAAGAAACTAAGAGATGCACTGGAAACTCTGAAAGGAAGATTGGCAGGTCGGAATAAAGAGGATGTCGAGATAGCTATTGCTATGGTTAGTAACTTTCTGTTACTACCCAGAGATGAGTGGTGCCTATATATTAATGGATTTGCTGGAAATTCACTAATATTTTTGTTATTCATTAATTCAGATATAAATGCTTTTCTAAAATATGTTAAAAAGTATAGCTTTATTATTTTTTTGTTCAGGTGGAAGCCTTGGCTGTAAGGTTAACTCAAAAAGAAGGAGATCTGATACAAGAAAAGTTCGAAGTGAACAAACTTGTGAGCATTCTAAAGCAGGTGCGTAATCTTCCGTCTGTACCATTAACCTTAACAATAAAATCGAAGCTTTGAAGAAGTTAACATCTTTTCAAACATATGCTATAAGAAAAGGGAAACAAACGAGAATAGTATATCGACATTCTATTTTCTACAGGCTTCAGAAGATGCTAAAAAGCTGGTTAATCAAGAAAGATCGTTTGCTTGTGCTGAAATTGAGAGTGCTAGGGCAGTTGTGCAAAGAATCGGTGAAGCACTCGAAGAACAAGAGATAAATTCTCAAGTTTCGGGGAAACAGGTAATTTACAGTTCTAATTTCTTCTTGACTTTCTCTTTTCAGTAGTTGCGAAGCATAAATTCTCAAGTTTCGGCAACTATGAAGGCTGAAATGTCTTGTTTTCTGTAGCAGGAAGTCGAGGAATTAATGGAGGAGATTCAAGAAGCTAGAAGAATTAGAGTCTTGCATCAGCCCAGCAAGGTATTTCTTCGAAACAGATAAGTTTTACAGCAAATTATGAAAAATAGACTTTTGTCGATAAAAACTACACTATTTTTGTAGGTGATGGACATGGAACACGAACTCAGAGCACTGAGAATTCAACTTAATGAGAAGTCTGTGGTTTCGTTTAAGCTTCAAAATGAGGTCTGCTTCTTTCCTTGTTTCTCAAAATAGTAAAAAAAAATTATACTATTTTGTCATTCGATGAATTTTCAATTTCTAAAAGGATGGCGTTCCTATTGTTTGCAGTTAGCAATGAGCAAGAGAACGGAGCAAAACAAGTCTCAATTGTATCGAATAATTGGCTCAGAAAGCGTGGGCTCAATTCTACGAATCCAGCCATGCTCAGACGAAGCTGTTGATCTTTCAAAATGTTCGATTCAGTGGTATCGTTTATCATCTGAATGCAGCAGAAGGGAACCTATTTTAGGTAATTTGTAGATAAAGATCGTGCTTGAGCTTCAAATTGGAAGAAAAATATCGGAAAGTGCTCAAAGTTTATTTTGCTTTAAATGATGCATTTCTTTCGTCGATTGAATTGTAATATGATGTCCAGGTGCGGATAAATCTGTTTATGCTCCTGAACCTATTGATGTTGGACGAGTTCTTGAAGCTGATATCGTCTCAAATGGCCTAAAGGCCTCGGTCACGACTATTGGCCAAATAGATCAAGGTTAGCGATAAATGAATTTATTCACTCACTTCTTTCCTAATTCGCTATAAACTTCATTCATTTCGTTATTGACAGCTGCTGGACTGGGGAATTATGTCGAGACACTTCTTCGGAAATCAAATACTGAATTCAGTGTAAGTGGTTCTGTTTGGCAAAACTAAAAGATTGAATCCAACCAATTAACTAGTCTAACCCATGACCTTATAAACTCATATGTTCTCTCTTATTTTATCAACGTGGGACTCTTAACAGAAAGTTGAAAATTAACATTAACATCGTCAGTATATAATAAAACCCGTGAAATTCTTCCGATCTTATAAAACAAGATTGCTAAAACCGAGTTGGACTAATTCTTGTTGATTCTCAGGTGGTTATTGCCCAGATGAACGGAAGGAACTATTCATCGCGCTCGATTCATTCATTTCATGTTGGGAAAATGAGGATGAAGCTAAACAAGGGATGGATTACGAAAGCTAGAGATTCTTATTCCGGGTCTATGCAGGTACTAATTAAACAAAAGTGAAACCGAATGTGGAATAGCAGTGATGATAATCTAATCCCAAATAACTTCAAGTGTTCTAACGTAAGACATGATTAGCGTAACCAAACATAAACAATTCTCTTATCCCCTTGTTTCTCAACCTCAGCTGTGCGGGTTCAGAGGGGGAGGAAACTCGGCAGCAAAGTCATTGTTCTGGCAACCGCGAAAAGGACAGTCCTTCGTACTGGTCTTTGACTCGGAGCGAGAAAGAAACGGAGCTCTAGTCGTGGCCAGGAAACACGCTCTCGAATGCAACGTAAGTATCACATCGAATCTTTACCTTATTATCTGCATCAAACACTAAAGGCTTGAGCTTTTTGTAATGGCAGGTGAATCTTGCTGGCCCGGACGACGATGCTTTGCTGTGAATCTAACTGGTGTTTCATTTATTACACTTTTTTTTTTTTTTTTTTTTTTTTTTTTTGGGTTTTAAGGGAATTTGATTGATTTGTGTGTGGTGATGAAAGATGGCTTGCTGTTTTGTTATTACTACTAATGAGTTACATCCATGAGGCATTTGTTTTATTGTTTGCCCAATCAAGGGTTGTAACCACTTTTACTAATCAATGGTTCATTTTTCAAGTGTTACAGTTTTTTTGGTTGGTGTATATACTCTAAACTTCCAACATGCCCATTTCATTTGAGGGAACATTAATCATTTTTTTTTGTTCATGTTTCACAGTATAACCATGGTTAATATAATGTTGTAATAAATATAAATACAATCATACAAGTCAAAGACATTATGGACGAACGGCATAATTATGACTCTCCCGAATGAGATATAACAATAAAAGTCGAACCATTTGAGCAATATGGCGACTATGTGCCCCCAAAAAAAAACTTTTCTAAGTAAAATAATAATTTATTTTTGGTCAGATCACTAAGTGATTGTGTAGGAGACACTTTTAAGTCTTTACCATACTTGAACAGCTCCGTTCACACTGGACCAGTTCAATTAAGGGTGTTGGCCGGATTAATTTCTTCTTACTAGAGGTTCGAACTATGATTTTCTTTAAGGGAGAAAAGTGCCCGATCAATCGCTCCAACCAAACTTATTTCAAGTAAAATAATACTCCGTAATGAATAAAGAATTAGTACTCGTCTTTGAGGTTTAAACATTAAACCCTGCGGCGGAGGCAGCGGACCGGAAAAATCCTCAAATTCTTGAATAAATCATCAATTTCAGATGCCTTCTTCCAAGAAGAAACACTCGAAATCCGCCTCAAGGCTCTCGCAATCCGACCCAAACGCTTCTCCTTCCCCATCACCCTCGGTGCCTTCATCCCCATACAGTCCTTCGCCGTTTTCGAACTCAAACCGGGGCCCAGAACTCGGTGAAGATGAGCTCCGCTGCTACCTTGAAGAAGCTTCTAGAAAGTTCCCGTCTTTCATATCCACGGCTGCTTTCATTGGCCGCGTCTCTGAAGAGGCTGCCGCTGCTGAGGGAGTGGGTTCTTCCGGAGCTGGCGGCTGTAAAATTTGGCTCTCCGAAGCTTCCATGGTCGCTTCTTCCATTGCTCCGGGCTCTCTCGTTTCGGTAAATAAGCCACATTCTTCTTCCATCAGATAGTGTTTTTCTGTGACCTTCTTATTTAGCTTGCTTGCTCTGTGAACCATTTTAGGCAGTTTTATCTGAAAAATTCTGGCTAAAGAATGAAACATGGCAAATGCTTTGAAATGCCATTACTTCTTGATTAGTTAAAAAATTGAAACTTTAGCCTTTTAAGTTGATATCAACTAAATTAAGTTCACTGCTATTGTGGATTTTTTATTTGTTGGGTTAACATGCAAAGCTGAACTATTTATTTATTTATTTATTTTTAAAATTTTGCCTCTTGATTTTTAGTATGCTGCTATCAATGTGACAAACAGGTGTCCCTTGCTTCTTCGGATGGCCTCAGTAATTTCCCTCTAAGCGCTTTACCAGATGAGTGCAAAAGGCACCTTGGATTTGGGTTTACAGAGCAATTGGCTGATGAAGCAGGAAACTATTTTGTTCTTGCAACTGTATTCCCCTCTTGTAAGGTTTGAAAATAAATCACATGTTCTTAACTTTCTTTCTATGGCCAAGTATTCCTGCTGATTTAATATTTGACTAATAAATATGTGCATATGGAGCTTCTAAATCGAGAGCAAAGGGAATGCTTCCCTTTGTCTTTCCTCGTTATAATAGAGTCAAGCTATTATCCTTACCTTAAAAGAAAATGGTGAATCCCATGGAGATGCTTATATTTGTTGAAAACAAGCCTAGTTTTGATTTCCTGATTACTTTGATATGTCTTTGCCAGTACTGATGAACTTCCATGAAATTGTGGTTTTGGACTAATTGGAAAGTTAGGAGTATTTCTGAAAACTTACTGAGGCTTAGTAAAGACTTTATTGTATATATTAACAGGATCTGGGGAGTGCAGAAGTACAAGAGAGTTTGTTTAGTACTTAAGCTAGCTTGAGATATCATTAATTGACCTAAATTAAAGGCTTCACAAGCTAATGCTAAAGAATCATAACTCCTTCAGTGAATTCTTTGTCATACAATGTTGAAGTATTATTGCACCAAAAGGTTTAGATGGAATTGCTCACTGATTCCCAGCCCTTAACTGTTTTTTGCCAGTATTATCTTAAATGCACTCTTTCTGTGTTCTTTTCTTTCTATGAGCAGAGTTCCATATCACCCTAGAGAATTCTTATGAGTGATGAATTCACTGTAATATCTGGGGGACTGATTTTCATACTCAATTATATATCGGTTTGAGTATATCTCTTGCAAATATATTCATTCTTTGCTGAGTTCTTGAGACTTATATGGCTGCAAATTCTTGGCTCTTTGGAAATGGTCAATCTTCTTCTTCATCAATTTCTGTGTGTCTGTCTTCTTTTTAGTAGAATTAGTGAAACAAGCCTCTTGGCTCCCTTCTTCAAATATTTGACTTATGACATCTGTCCCATTCTTGATTTTATAGGAAAATGTATAAATCCATGTAACTTTGCATTATTTGAGAGGAGGAAGAATTTGCATGTAACTTGACATTGTTCTGTCTGTAGGTTTTAAAGTCTGCAGTGCGACTTTCTTCAAACCTTTCATGGACAATGGGCTGTCTTGTTTCTGGACGGACTATTTTTGTTCATCCTGTAATTGGTCAACCACTGCGGGTTATTTTAAATGGAAATGAGAATTTACCGAACCCTAAAGCTAGTCGCTTTTCGTTGTGCAACTGCGAGGAATTATACTTAAAACCTATATCTTCAAAGGAACATTTTTTGGTGAAGAGTACTGTATCCTCTCAAATAGCATCTACCACTGGAACGGTAATGGGTCGAGCTGAGAATGGAAAGATTTCATCCCCAAAAACTCCGTCACACTCCCATACAAGACTTAGCTCACCTGGACCTTATGAGTCAAATGCATCAAGTTATCAAGAATCAGTCTCAAATTCATCTGATCCGAATGGTATATCTAGCAACATAACTTACATGATGGAAGTTCTGGAGGATGAGAATTCAAAAAAACTTATGCAAACTTGTGTTGGTTTTTCACTACATTCTCGTAGCTTACTTCGTGGAAACCTTGTGACCGTCCCAGTACTTTCTAGGCTTTGCACATTTCTGGTCACAGGAGCCAGAAAATTCTCCACAAAAGGCAATCAACGTTTGAAGGACAAAAGCGATCAGAAACCTTTTCCACATGCCACAGATTTGGAGAACCATGCAAATGTTGCTTTCTTGATTGATCATGAAACTAAAGTTTGTATACAGTTCCCACAAAATATTCAAGAAGGTGCTCCAACAAGAGGAGCTGCCTTGTTGACCGAACTTGAGTGTGCAGGTGGCAAAACTAATATAGCATCCGATGTTTCAAAGTTGGGTGGCCTTACAAAGGAATCTGCAGAGTTAAAAGACATAATAATATCATCAGCAGTGAAAGGTGTAGTTGCTAGGTATGCTTGCTGTCACATTAATAATTACTCCCTCTGTCCTAGACTCTTAGTTTATATGTCCTATTTACTATTCATCGGTCAAACCAATTATTTGGCTAATAGCAAGGTGTTTATACTTTATACTGATGGTTCTTGTGACTGTTTCAGCATGGGTTTACGACCTACAAAAGGAGTACTTCTTCATGGACCACCTGGAACAGGAAAGACTTCTTTGGCTCGATTTTGTGCTCACTATACTGGTGTGAACTTTTTCTCCGTGAATGGGCCTGAAATCATAAGTCAATATTATGGAGAAAGTGAACGAGCGTTGCATGAAATCTTTGATTCAGCTGCCCAGGCTACACCTGCTGTGGTTAGACAATTTCCAAAATATCCTAAATTCCTCGTGGGATTTAGGATATCTATTTTTCAATTACCACTATGAATGGGACCAATTGGATACGATCACTATAGCTCTGATAAAATGACATCTACAGGTGTTCATTGATGAGGTGGATGCCATAGCACCTGTGCGGAAAGATGGAGGTGATGAGCTTTCTCAAAGAATGGTGGCAACTTTGTTGAACTTGATGGATGGAATAAGCAGAACCGATGGGCTGCTTGTTATTGCAGCAACCAACAGGCCTGACAGTGTCGAGCCTGCACTTAGACGGCCTGGAAGGTTTGACAGAGAAATTGAAATAGGTGATTTGAAATATGACTTTATCTATTGCCTTTCATTTATCTTATTAAATATTTTACTATGCCACTCGATTTGTCTTTGTCATTTACAATGCTTCTATACTTGACTGCTCTGCTTGATAGTTGTTAAGAGTCCCACATTGATAAAATAAGAGAGAACATATGGGTTTCATAAGGCCATGGGTTAGACCAGTTAATTGGTTGGATTCAATCTTTTAGTGTGGTTTGGCCCATTTGCATTATAGTGACCCTAGCCCAATCTTTGATTATAACTATAGCAGTTTCAGTTTGTGCGTAAGTGTGAAGTAATGTGTATCACCCATCTGGAAAAGTTTTTCTATAGGCGTACCGTCTCCAAGACAGCGTTACGAAATACTACTGGTGCTTCTCGGTGAGATGGAACATTCACTTGTGGACTCGGATATTCAACATCTTGCTACAGCTACACATGGTTTTGTGGGTGCTGATCTAGCAGCTCTCTGTAATGAAGCAGCCTTGTCTTCTCTCAGGAGGCATGTAAACGTAAAAATGTCATATGGTGATCCAAATAGCAAATCATCAACTCCCCTACACAATGGTTGCTCTGATGATCTCATGGATGTTTCCCTTTGCTCTGAAGAAAGTAAACTTCCATCTGTCAACAGTGCTGTGGAGGGCTCATCGTTAATTACAGAAACATGCATTTCATCAGATATTGTGAATGGAGTGAATGTAAATGGGACATGCACTACAGAAAACGGTATTTTGACAGTGACAAGTGGTGATTTTGAAAGTGCTAGATTTAAAGTAAGACCAAGTGCCATGAGAGAGGTATGTATCTGTCCATCGTTCGGGGGATTTAAAAGTTTTGGATAATGTAGAAACAGAAATTTTGTAATGCATAGATGAACAGTCTGAATTGATATCTGACATTGTCACTGTTGCTACTAGGTAATGCTTGAGGTTCCAAAGGTTAACTGGGAGGATGTTGGTGGGCAAAGAGAGATTAAGATGCAATTAATGGAAGCTGTTGAGTGGCCCCAAAAGCATCAAGAAGCATTTAAACGGATTGGAACCCGCCCCCCAACTGGGGTTTTGATGTTTGGTCCTCCGGGATGTAGCAAAACCCTTTTGGCTCGTGCCGTTGCTTCTGAGGCTGGGCTAAATTTTCTTGCTGTGAAGGGCCCCGAACTTTTCAGCAAATGGGTAGGTGAATCAGAAAAGGCCGTAAGAGCTCTGTTTGCAAAAGCGAGGGCAAATGCCCCCTCTATTATATTTTTTGATGAAATAGATGGTCTTGCTGTTGTTCGTGGGAAAGAGAGCGATGGAGTCTCTGTTTCAGACCGGGTGATGAGTCAACTTCTGGTTGAATTGGACGGTAAGCAAATCTGAAAGCCTATTCTTTGAAGAACATATATATATATATATATATATATATATATATATATATATATATATATATATATATATATATAGGGTTACGTTCAAATGAGGACAGCAATATATAGAGGACTGTGCGGACAGATAATGGGCACACGACAAATTAGTATCATGCACACAATTTAATACGCAATGGCACACAAGAATACATCTAAACATCAGGTTTCGAACCCAGGCTCTATTAATTAACAAATCTATGCACACGACATACAAATTATGGTACACGACTACATTCGGCCATGCACACGACATACAGACTAATGGCACACGACTACATCTGTCCTCACAGTCCTCTATAATATAGTTGTCCTCATTTGAATACGCTTATATATATATATATATATATATATATATATATATATATATATATATTTATTTATTTATTTATTTTTGTCTCTGGATAAACTTTGATGGAAAATTATCCTATCTTAGCATCGGTATGATACAAATATATGTTTTCTGAAATAGGTTTGCAGCAAAGAGTGAACGTTACTGTTATTGCTGCTACAAATCGGCCAGACAAGATCGACCCTGCCCTCTTAAGACCAGGTGCAGCCTCTTCTCCTTGCATATACTATTAGGAGCTATATCTTCTTTTTAAACTGAACATAACTAATAATATATCAACTTGCTAGGTCGTTTTGATCGGCTTCTATACGTGGGACCACCAGATGAAAACGATCGTGAAGATATATTCCGCATTCATTTGCGAAAGATTCCGTGTCATTCTGACATATGCATTAAAGAACTTGCCCTTCTCACCAAAGGATGTACGGGTGCTGATATATCCCTAATCTGCCGTGAAGCAGCTATTGCAGCTATCGAAGTATGCTGGAATCTCATTGTTGTGTCAATACAGATAGATAAACGTGTCTGGAGAAGCTTACAATGTTTTTTTTTTTTTGTCAGGAGAATCTTGGAGCCTCAGAAATAAAAATGGAGCACTTGAAGGCTGGCATTCTAAGAGTACAGCCCGTTGATGTTCTGTCGTACAAGGCGTTATCAACTAAGTTTCAGAGACTTGTTCACTCATCTACTACTAAAGGAGCTGATTTGATGTCCCCACCGTGCTTAAATAGATCAAGTGAGACACATTTCTGGTAAACTCTTATCCCTCCCTAGTTAATATCATCACCTATTTTGTTGGTTTTCTTTCTCGGGGAATTGCATCTTTGAGGTGGCATAATTTCATAGGCTTAATGGATTCATGTTAAACACACAGTCCACTCTTAAGTAAAAGACAGTGATCTTGTTTCTCTATATTTTCCTTGGTCAAAACTATAAACTTGAAACTGCATTATTTTCTGTTTTCTAAAATGAGTTTGACCCGATCACTGAACAACTCTATTGTGCTGTCCGATTCAAACAATAACAACAGGGATGTATTAAGATCGACAGCTATGTTTGTTTATCGGCTTCCTTCCTCAATTTTGCGGTCTTTGAGCAGCTAGACACTATGGTTTCTTCCCTCGGAGAAGATCTAAGACAACTCTTCCAATGAAGAACTCGTGTTTCTTGCCTTCAATCCCCCACTGATAGATAAGATATAATTCAGGCATTATTATTAATACTCGAGATTTTTTTTTGCCAGATATCAACAGTGATACTGCTGAGATGATCTCCAGGTTTTGTCTGGTTGATATTGTAAATTAGTGTGTGAGGTTTTAATATGTTTTATCTTTGGAGACATAAAATTTTGAGATGGAATGGATTCTGTGTAATCATATGCAGCCATGAATGGTTCTTTTCCCCTCTCTCTCACACACACACACACATAGAGAGAGAGAGACAAGACAACAGTTTTGAAGTGCAGATCTATTCTACCAAGAAAAAAGGAATAAAAAAACGTTTTGTTTGCTGTTTTCATGAGTCATAACAGAAGATGATCAGAAATGTGACAGAGATGCATATATTTGGAATCTAACACAAAAAGGGCATCCACTGAAGTACAGTCAAACACCCATGTGATTGGCTTCTTTCTTAAACTATTCTTCTTCTTCTTCATTACGTTGTTAGGATATTAGTCGTGAGAGTTGAGGTTTTTTTTTTTTTTTTTTTTTTTTTTTTTTAAATAATATAAGATACCTTGTCATTTTCATGGGATATCGTCCAAACACGTGTCCTGAAAATGGCATCGCCAGCCCTTAAAAAAAGAATCACGTAGGAATCTTGAAATCAAAGTCAATTGTGTGGAACCAGCTTGTTTGACGTAAATGACTGTGTACTTTTGTTTTTTAATAGAGATCGTGAGTTTAAACAGTATTTTGTATCTTAATTGGGTTGATTTCAGCACTTTGTCCTTTAATCAGGTCGATCTGGAGTAAATGAGGATTAGTTTGAATATAGTACGAGTTTAAAGGCGTTTTTGTCAATTGTGTGGGATAAAAATATGGTGAAGAGGTTTTGATGATTGCAGTTTTACAACCAAACACCCACTAACCACTATGCTCATCGAGCAACCAAAAATATTCCTTTGTCTTCTCTTAAATCAATAATAACAAAACACTATCCACTATCCACCCACATTCTTAATTAATTAATAAATTGTTGATTACACTTTAGGAAAAATAAAGATTCCATTTTCTTTAAGTAATGTTTAAGGTTCGAGTTGGTTGGGTTAATTTCACTAAAAATTCATTGATTATTGAATTTTCTTTTTCATATTCTAAATCAATCGGATTCAGTTTTCTATTATCAAATTTATTCGTCAACCTTTAAGACTAAATTTGTAATTTTCATATGTTGACGCGTTAAAACTTTCGTTAGTTAGTTTTATGAATAGAGTACAAGATAATGAAAAAAATTTATCATGTGAAATTTACAATAATTTTATTTTTTGATTAAAATTTAACAAAAATACTACTTGGACTCCAAAAAATCTCACTCAACTTTAACTCCTACTAAGTATTCAAATTTTATTCCGCATATTAAGGAGTAAAAAATGACAATATAAAATGAAAGTACATGTAGAATTACTCAAAATTTAATATGATTATTGGATACTAAAACATTTCTAACTAAACTAACAAAAAAGGTACACAATAATTAATTGATTGATTAAAATAATTATTATATTATATAATTACTCCCCAGGACTTATCTTCACACCGGCCTCATGGAACCAAACAACACTTTTGATAACTCATTTGATTCCCACTTCAACTCAAAAGGAAATCCCATCCACAAAGTGACCTAACTTTGCATTTTGTCTCTCTTTTCATCTCATTTTAATCATATCTGATCTCTTGTGCCATTCTTAACAACAAAGCTTTTATAATTCTAAGTCAAATAAATCTTAAACTGATCTATATTTAAAGTACAAATTTAAAATAGATAATCAACCTTCATAGCTGTTATAAATACATGTCAACAAGATTCCACTTTATAATTATCTTTCAAATAATTACTAATAAACATATGATTGGATGGAGGTGCTCAATCCGCCATGTTCATAGAGAATCTATTTATTTTGTGCAAAATTATTGATGGAAACAAGCTCAGTTTACATTATGTGTTGCACTTTTAATACATTTTACTTGCATGTAAGTGTACTATATGAAATTGTTACTTGCACTTCAAAGAACCTACTGAAGCACAATAAGTCAATGCCCGCAGACTGAGGTTCAAACCTGACACCCCTCATTTAAAGGGTCACAGCTATGCCGCTCGACCACAAGGCTTTGGCTAGCATTTTATACTTGAAGTTGTCATAGTTTTGCAGTAGTTGAGGCACCACATAAAAATCATTAACTCATGATTGCACATTTTTAACGTTTAGAATTTAATGAAAACCTTTCGTATGAATAAAATCACCAACGACATTACTGATATTGACTCTTCATTTTTGCACCATACATTATTTTGTCATTTACATGGAAGATGATTGTAATTGAGACTTACATACATATTAAGTCAATATCTGACAATATAATTAAAGCATGTGCTCCGTTACAATTAAAAAGCTAAACTTTTGTCAGGTAACACAATGATTTGAATCCAAGACCTCTTGCATGAGATTGTCTCTGATACCAAATTAAAACACATGTCCTGTCTCAACTAAAATTTAAGTTGATAGTTGAACAACACATTTATGTTTCTATATTATATATATGCTTAACAAGTATAAAGATAATTTTCTATGGTTGTTTCATCAACTAAATTCAAATCTAAGAATTTATTAAAAATATTAGACTAAGTTTATTCAAATCACAAATTATTATTAGAAAAAAGAAACTTGTGCCCATAAATTATAAGAAAATAACATTTCTCGTCTCCCCAACTATATCATTTCCACTTTTTATTTCTCTTCTTCCAAATACTGCCCACCCGAACCAAAACTCACATATAAAAAGTTACTTCGTTGACGGTTGAACAAAAAATGATAATTATATAATTAAAAAATAAAAGGTGTCATTCTCTATCGTTGTTATATACTCCGTAACATTTTTCATGATATTCGCAATTATTTTAGAATGACTCAATTTTCTTATTATTATTATTATTATTATTATTATTATTATTATTATTATTATTATTATTATTTTACTTTTTTTTTAAAAAAAAATCTTAGGACCAATCGGCCAATCATATTCCCCGTACAACTTCGTCTATGTTAGTTGTTGTCTATATCCGCTCACTTCAACTGCTGACGCGTGTACCTAACACACTCCCCTCACAAAAGAAAAAAATAATAATAATTATTTCACCTTTAGAGCAAGCTCATTAATTTTGTTTTGATTTTTTTATTTTGTTTTTGTTTTTTTTTTTTTTGTTTTTTTTTTTTTAGGTTTTTTGTCCGCCACAATTAATTTTTTTTTTTAAATACTTATGATTCTTTACCAGATAATATCTATTTTATACTTGAGACTGAAAATGTTTGAGCCACCATTAAGTTAGAAGAAAGAAAAAGGAGAGAAAAAAAAAAATAATTTCTAACCACACCCCCCACCCACCCACCACCCCCAATAAAAATATAAAAAATAAAAACTAGGATCTAATTTTATGCACGATTTTGCCAATTGCTTTCTTCTTCTCTTTTCAGACATACCCTACTAAAAACCATAATTTGCATGAAGAAAAATTAATGAAAAATCATCATCTCCCTTTCCTCATCAAAAATAAATAAATAAAAAATCATCCTCTCCCTTTGCCAAAATCATTTACTTGGTTTTTTCTTCTTGCATAAATCAAGTAAAAATCACTAATGAGGTTGGCCTAGTCCTTCGATTGTGAAGACATTTTTTATATTTTAAATTAAAAGTGAAATGTATTTTATAAATCAAAATAAAATATAACAAATAAAATAAAAATTATATAATGTTAAATAGCAAAAGCATTAACTATTACAAATAAAATTAAGCCATGATATTCTACAAGTAAAAGAATAATTTGACTTTCACTATTTTTAAAAATATCCTTCAACTAGTCAATTAGAACCAATCAATATTAACTTTTCGAAACTTATATCTCTCGTTAAGTTAGAGTGGATTCATATATAGAGGAAAGCTCTACGGTATTGAAGAGGCATAATTTGTTAGATTCTAAAAATGGAATATACATATGGTCTGACATGATGTTATTTAGTTCCAAGATAAGTCCTTTAACCATATATATGGTTAAAGGTACTTTTCATTTCGATTACTCTGGCCATATTATTACAATTACAAGTTACAAATCTTATTTCGACTACTTAGATCATATTATTACAATTACATGTTACTAATCTTATTTCAACTCTAGTCATATTATCTTTATTTTTTTTGTTAAATCCTTTTATATCCTTTATTTTTATTTTTATATATTTTATTAAATACTTGTACATAAGTTTTATATTATTAAATATAAATGATATCATTTGAAAATTTTTGTTAAGACAAGAACAAATCTAGTATTTAATATACATATATATTAGTAGACCATGACCTCATTTATAGACCAACATGGAAAGCAGCATTAGAGAGGGTGATTGATATGATTGGTAAACCCATTGAGGGGATGGGTGTGTTATACACGCGCCAGGTGGATATGACTTATGAGTAGATAGAGATACACACATGTAACTGAAAATAATAATACTCGTAAGTCCTAATTAAAAATAATTGGAAATAAAATTTTATTACATATACTCCTTAATCTTACTCCTTAAATTTTATTCTATGATATGACGAATTCCGATAAATTATTTTTTAATGCGAATTTTAATACAAGTGTCTACATCAAAATTTTGTGTGTATGAATATAAATTAGAAGTACAAAATAAAGTAGCATTTTCTTAAAATATTTTATTAAAACACTCCTTTTGAAGACTAAAATGTATGACTTTTTCACGCCCAATTTATGATTCAATCTTTTGTTTCCCCCCACGTTTTTGACAATTCTTCCATAATTCTCATCCTATGCTCTACTTTTTCTTTACGCCATAACAATAACGATAATGGTATCCAATTTATGTGAAAAAATTTTCACTTCTTTTAAGATATATTGTATATTTTATTGTATGATATTGCGCCTTAAAAATGTTAATATCTTTAATAACTGAATTTAGTTTTAAATTCAGCTATTATAATTTTTTGAATTCAATGGAAATTTGAATATTAACATATAGAACTTTACTAGATTGGCTAATTTTTTTATTTTTTATTTTATCAAATGTTGATATATTGGGTTACCATTGGTGAAATGAGAAAGAGTATGTATTCAGTTAATTTAGTTCATTTTAAATAAAAATTTCATTTTAGCCAAATAATTCATCGAATTGAAATATGTATAATACAATTTATTGAATTAACTGAACTTATTTTCATTAATTCAATTAACTGAACACACTTAAGAAAGAGTCCCTTTTAAACTAGGAATATATCACATAAACATTTGCCGCGATGTGTATATCATAACATTACATTAGAGTTCATCAATAGTTGAGATTTTAGTAAAAAAAAAAAATATAAATAAAAATACAAGGCCAATTTTATAATGACTACAAACTTTCAAGTTTGCAATACTTATAAAATTGATCATGACTATTTTCTCTTATTTTTTAGCAACCCTCGCGTCTTGATTTATCCAAATGGATAGATTATTAGACCAGTCTCCACTTTTTACTTGAGAGCGTGTTTTTACATGAATCCTCATTATATATATATATATATATATATATATATATATATATATATATATATATATATATATATATATATGTATATGTATTTTTGTTTTGCATTGTATTTTGGAATTTGATAAAGTTATATTATTTACGCAATTCATCATTGTTTTGTTGTGCAGTTGTGCTATAACGTATGGAGTAGTTATGAAGTTGAGAAGAATTTTGTGACAACATAAAAATATTTAATTATAAATAATTAAATATGCCCTAAATAAATTTTGACTATAACCAAAGTAGTCATAAATGAGATTAGTTACTATCAACCATACCATATTGCTTTATTTTGTCACGCATAATCAATCAATTTTACATGAAATTTATACGGTACTAAATTATATTTGATATAATCATGTAGATATATATTGTTGTATCATGTACAATTCGACACTAGTACCAATCGTCTCTCTCTGTCACTCACCCATACACACACATGTTCCATGGATACTTGGATAGCCAATCAATCAATAATAGATTTGTATAGAGTTTGATAGGATAACATTTTTCTAAGGTGAATAATAAAATTAGGTACAATTGCATTAAAAACTTTTAAATTTAGTACGATATGAAGTTAATTTTTTTTAGAAATTCATATCTAATCAATATAGGGATCTGAATTTTTTCACTAATATCATATCCATCCAAACAAAACTCAACCTAGAAATTCAGATCTAATCAATACAAGGATCTGAATTTTTTCACTAACATCCAAACAAAATTCAACATGATACTAGGCTGATAAATTAACAAATTAAGTCAAGAAGTACTAAAATGGAGTGGGGTGAGATAATAAAATCACATAAATTTTGTTTTGGAGTTTAAAATTGGTAAATGTAAAAGGGTAAATTTTGGTTTGTAATTAAAAGTGAGATTACTATAGTAATGAAATAGAAAATGAAATTTAAGGAATAAAAGTTGGATGTGAATGGGAAAATGGAGTAGGGCAGGCAACAACTTTGTTCGAAACAAAGACAAAATTCCATAAAAATCATAACATAAGAAAAGCATCAGCAACAGTAACATAATAAAAGCTGAAAAGAAGAAAACAAGATCCACCTCGAACACCCCTCCACCCCATTCTCTCCCTCTTCTCTTCTCTGTCAAAACTCAAAACTACCACCAATCTTGAATTTCCGGCGACCCTTATTACAATTGACCCAGATTTTTATTTATTTATATATATATATACAGACGCACATATACTAGTCTACACCTGAAGTCTTGGGGCGGAGAGAAAGAGAGAGAGAGAAATGAGGGAGGAAGATTCCAATTGGTTTGCTAAATGGGAAGAAGAACTTCCTTCTCCGGATGAGCTTATGCCCTTATCTCAAACCCTAATTACGCCTGATCTAGCCCTTGCTTTTGATATCCGCAACCCCCCAAACACGCCGTTGCCGCAATCGCACCACCAGAACCAGCCGGCGCCGCCGGTGTCCGCCGTTCACACTCCATCTTCGCAGCCGAACTCGTCGGCGGAATTTGACTCGGCGGAGTTGGGGGCCGGCGGGGACGAGCCTGCCCGGACTCTCAAGCGGCCTCGCCTGGTGTGGACGCCGCAGCTGCACAAGCGGTTTGTGGACGCGGTGGCGCACTTGGGGATCAAGAATGCGGTGCCCAAGACCATAATGCAGCTGATGAGTGTGGATGGGCTGACCCGCGAGAACGTCGCCAGCCATTTGCAGAAGTATAGGCTCTATCTGAAGCGTATGCAGGGGTTGTCGAACGGCGGCGGCGGCGCCGGGAACAACTCCGGCGGCGGCGGGGGAGTGGATCCCGCGACGGACCACTTGTTCGCGAGCTCGCCGGTGCCCGCCCATTTTTTGCACCCGGGGAGGCCTAATTCCGAGCATTTCATGCCGTTTGTGAGCGTTCCAACAATGCAACACCACCACCAGATGGCGGCGGTGGTGGGGCACCACCCCCAGCTTCATCAGCCGTACAGGCATTTCGGGTCACCCCCCAACGGCGGCCAGTTTGAGCATCCTTTTCTTTCCCGGCAATCCCAGCAGCGGGTCCAGAGGATGGGGACTCCTGTACATAATAGCAGCCCTGTTGTACCACCGTATGTGGATGACGTGGAATCCGCCACCGCCGCCGCAAACGGCCGGAAAGTCCTCACACTCTTCCCCACCGGAGATGACTGAAATGAATTGGGGGTAACTGTTGACTTTTTTCCTATTCAATTTCAATTTGGCCTCAGGATATTGTGAAAAATTTATGCTTCCAATAACATTTAGCAATTAATTTAGAATAATGTTTTACTTTACTTTAATTTACTGTTGTTCTGTTGTGTTTTAGTTGTTTGAGTGATGAGTATCATAGAATTGTGAATCACCTAATCTACTCCATTTTTGTCTTCCTTGAATTGTATGGGTGCATATATATGTTGCTTTTAAGGATTAGTGTCATGTGCATAGTGTGAGTACTTTTCCTCACTGTAATTATGTTTCCAGTATTCGTGTTTTCTGCTATTAAAGCATGTGCTACATCTCAACTAAAAGTCTAAGCTGATAGTTGGATTGCACATTAATAGCTATATGCTCAACATGCTGAAATCTTGATCGTCCAAATGCAGATGGATACTGATTAGTAAGAGCCATTGCAGTGTAGCTAGAGATGTAAGAACGAGATTTTCATCAAGGGGCGGCAAGTTAAGGCAATATATATATATACTGATTTCTCCTGCCCATATGGAGCTTAATTGATTCTCTCGCTAGCTCTTCTTAGTTTAGATGTGAATTGAACATGAACCTTGCTTCTTGTACATTGTCTGTTTAATTGCATAGTGAACTAAACTGTCTATTATATTGCCTATTGGAGAATCCTCAGCTCCTCGATTGAGAACATACAATAATACAGTCACAATCTTGATGTTATCTATGAAGATCAGATTTTTATTGCTTATTTCCTTAATGCTGCTGATCGAGTGAGTAACTGCTAATCTAATAAGCTGTACGGGCAGCCAAGGCCTAAAACTGCAGTTAAGGTGCCTGGAGATTCTTGCATTATATTGCAGATCATCATGTCATTATATTGCTGTGAGAAAATGAAGCTGGAAAGGCTTTTTTTCAGAAAGATGAGGTTATGCATGCTTCCTTTTTCTAGTGTGTTTGTGTTCATGTAAATTTCATAGGATTTTCCTCCCATTGCTGTCTTACAAGCTAAAAAGATTGTTTTTTTAGTTGAGTTTGTGTCTGCCCTTTTCATATGACAGGTGATGATGTTTTTGGTTAGTTGAGCCATTTGTTAGTATAAAAATCACTACACTCAACTCAATCTGAGATTTAAAATGCAAGTTGGGATCTGATCCGATCAACATCTCCTATGACTGCTTAGACATGTCACATAGTATAAGAACATAGTTGTTGTGTTGCATACCGCTAAAGATAAAATTAATTCAGTTGAGTCTTGATCGTATCTCATCCGGGTGGGGTTCTTCCAACTGTGTTGGTAAACGTGTTTCGCTATTTAATTGTTCGGATGTACATTAATGCATATATTGTTGAAACCTGCCATCTTCTCTTGCCCACAAAAAGGTGAAATTCGATCCTTCCAGGAACACTACATTCTAGCCCAACAAGACAATTGAAAGGTAAATCATAGTAACTTAGCGACTCATTAGATAAGAGGACATATGACTGATGTTCACCTGCCATCTTCACTTGCATAGGTTTTTGGTGTTTAATTTTCTTCTAATTATCTCCTTACAATATAATTTAAGGGCAAATTATACTCTTGTTGAAATAGTAGGTCTGAACTCTATCAAGTTCTTATCCTCATAACTCATAAGATGCACCCAAAAAAAAGTGAAAATAAAATAATTACATATATTCATCCAGGAATCAGGATGGTGCATTAGTATATAAAAATTTTTAAATAAGTAAATAAAAAAGTGTGATTGAAGAAGTCAATATTATACGCTCGTGATTGGATTGATTCCACCACGCAAACGTACGGCAGAGATGTTGCGTATACGATATTATATTGATATTTCTATATTTCCCTTAAAGCAGAAGATTAACTAATTATGCGATGCTTGAAAAGGACATCTGTAATTTTTTCCAATTTCATTATGTGGAAATTTTGTAGTGTTTGATGATATTATAATGTGTTTTTTTGCCATTAATATAAAACTAAGTACACACAATAATGATTATACTATACTTTTTTGTTTCAGTTTATATTTGACCCCACATCGTACTTTTAATTCTATATTCAACTTGTAATAATTCACCCCTTGCTATACTTTATTATTAAATACTTTCTGTGTTTGTTAATTGGTTGTTAGCTAATTGAATTAGTAGATTTAACTAGTTGATAATATTAGCTAATTGTAAAAAAAAAATGTTTGATAAATTAACTGTTAACTGATTACATATAAAATGACATTTTCAAAAAGTTAAATGAAAAAACTGCTTTAAACAGCAGCTGTTATTTAAACATTGGCAGTGTTTAAGAATGATTTAGTAATTTTAATGTAGAGGTATGATTAGTTGATCCAGGGAGGTGTAATTATTTATTGATGGGATATAAGCATGTTTAGATAAGCAAGATCCGTCATTAATTAATTATTTAAAGACGTGCCACCCGCCTACAAGACCGGCAAGATTTGCTAATTTTTTATGACCCTATTCAGATTACAGATCTGATCTTGCCTCTTAAAATAAGACAATTTGTACAACTGTACGACGCTTCATTTCCAAATCTAGTTTGTTTTATCTAAGTAAACTCCATGTTTTGTCTTAAAAATCTTAGTAATTCTAATTTTTGACCTTCAAAAGATAAGACGAGTTAAAATTCTAACAATTAAGGAGCAATTTATTATTATTATTTTTTAATAATATCAAATTAATCGTCAACACTAAATTTCTTCATCAATTTTGCCACTAAACCCACATTTCTATTAAGATTGATGGTGTATTTAGAATAATATATTAGCTTTATTTGGTAACATAGTTAGCTTTATCAGTCAATTTTGACTTATTTGATCACTATTAGCTTTTTTGACTTGGTTAAACAATCAATAAGAATGTTTGATTAATTAACTTTTTGTAACAACTTACTATTCTAAAATGCTAAAATTCAAAAGGCTGTTTTGAGCAACTTTTTTGATCGAAAGTAATTTTGCATGTAATAAGGTATCATCTAACAACTAATTTACCAAACATTTTTCTACAATCAGCTAATGCTATCAACAAGTCAAACCACTAACCCAATCAGCTAACAATTATCAACTAACAGCTATTTACCAAACACCCCCTAAACTACCATCATATTAAGTGTCGAGTATTTTGAAAAAGGTTTTAGAAAGTTGTTACTACAGAGAATAATAGGAGGTACTAACAGTAACCAGGTCCATTGAATAAATCCCAGAAACAATAGCAAAAGATAGTAATAGAGAATAATAGCAGTTTGTGAGTCAGTGTTATACAATGGCCCTAAAATAAGACAACACTAAAATAGGTGGCAAAAATACAGTGTCCTGTTATACAGACAGCCATGGAAGAGACAGTTCTAGTCGTCAGGAATGGTGTTGAGAGTAATCAAAACTTAGAGGCTGCTGATAGAAGGGGGCCTGTTGTCAAAAATATAAATAACAATCAGAACGCATTCTTGAAAATCTTATAAAATAACAGCTCTCCACGACAAGTCAATAGTTTGTGCTGATTATATATAATGAACGAGTAGTCGATAGGGAGGCAACAAGTACCTGAAAAGCAACGTGCCTAAGTTGCTCGTATGAATGTGCATACATCATAGACTGGGTAGGCCACTGCATGTTGGCAGCCTCGGTAGACATTTGATTTAATCCTCCCATCACGCAGTAAGGGTTCGGTAATGGGTTGCTATAGTTAAACGAAGCAGGAGTCCCGGGCATTTGGCCCTGCACGGGAAAACCAGAATCATATTGCACATATGGAGGCTGGAACTTCTGAATGCCGAATGGTGTCATGTTAAAGCTCTGATTCACTGGAATGTTCTTATTAACATATCTGCATCATTTGAAACCCAAAATTGCTTAACTGTTAATTAACATTTTGAATGATAAATAGAATATCAAGAATGAGCATACCTTTCATAACTTCGGTCATAATCAGGGTCAGTAAGATCCTTCTCCCTGTCCCTAAAAATGGCTACACGAGAGGCAGGTCTATTTTCCCTGCTGCGGAAAATTTTCTCCAAATCAAGAACTGAGCTCTTTATATATTCATTTTCATCCACGATGTCCCTCCCATCAGAAGCACTGTGAACTAATGAATCTTCTGATTCGAAATTGTTTGGACCGTTAAAGATACGTGCACGTGCCCTATCATATTCCTCCTTTCTCTCTTCCATGGTTCTTATAGCACTGTGCTTGGCTCCCAATTCACTCTGTCCTGTCAAAGCTCTACTAGGCCTTGATCGTAATACAATTCTTTTCTGATCCAGTTTCTCACTCTCTGATTGTTTGGGTGGAACATCAGATAAACAGAGGGTCGGGTATTTAGTATCAACCTTTTTCTTCACCAAAATACGAGTTCCCTGACCATCAACCACATTGTCCACCATAGTCAGCAACCCATAGTGTTGAGCAACTCGGTGCGCTGCAAGACGAAGATAGGAAGTAGGGAAGTGTGGAAACTCAAACTGTTCCAAATCGGGATTTTGCAAAAACTTTTGAACGTCGAGTTCCATCCGCAGAACTGGGAATTATCACGAAAAGTAAAAAAGGAAGTCAAAGACTACATCAACCAATAAGTTGCAAAACGGTCAGTGAACACTAAAGAGCAGCACAATCAGGACTAATACTTATCATCTAAAAGAAAATAAATGTACAAACAGCATACACAGTTCAGTAAGGATAGTAAACTCTTCACCTATTAGTCTCCCTCCTTCAATTGTTCAATTCACAAAATTACATTTTAGAAACATAAAAACCCACTAGGGCAAACCATTCGGTCATTCAAATATCTTAACCTTTCCATTAAGATATTCAGGAGAATGGTACATAACTACACATGCCAACTGCATGAAGGTTAGAATTCTATTGAGTGCAACTAAAAAGGCCTAAAAATTTCGCATTGCTTCATGCACAAGGGTCAAGGGGTACGGTTAGTCTGATCATTACCATCTCTGAGTTATACCCTATAACATTAATGTCCCAGAATTTAAGATTATCCATAGAAACAATAGTAAAGCAATTAACAACACAATGCTACAAAGATAATCTGAAAGAAAATTCTCATAAGAAACCTCTCCTAGAAACATATCAGTTAATTCAGCTAAACAATTAAGAACTAAAAACTTCTAAGAAACATAAAGATGTAACAATGAGGAATACAATGTTGCTTCTAATTAGATCCAACAAGCAACTAATACCAACACTCAATTCTCTGATTCCACAGTTTCAAAGACAATAATCGACTATAAATTTACACCCAAAAAAAAAGGAAGATTCCCCGCCAAATAATATCATGACAAATAGGTTACTCAAACAATGAAATCAAGAAAAGAAACAAAACACCAATTCAAAATTGGCACGAGAATTCGAGAAAAAAGCTAAAATCTTGAGGAGGATTACTGACTGGTGAGACGATGGCGAGGGTTTTGGAGAGCTTCAACGAGAAAAGGGTCCACCATTGACAGGTAAGCAGGAGCCACCTCCGGCGTCGAAACAACGTCAGCAGCAGCAGCTGACGGGGACACAACATGGGTCGCCATCGAGGAAGCCCGTATCCAAGACAACCCCTTTGCTCTATGGGGAAATTTATACGCCCCGATAAATTCTAATCCTACAAAAATTAAAAAAAGAAGCTTCTTCCCTCTACGCCTTCGCCCACGAAAAAGGGAGAAGGATCAAGAAGAAGAAGAGGAAGAAGAAGAGGAAGAAGAAGAAGAAGAATGAAGGTGGAATTGGGTCTCCTTTCGGGTCAGGGAAAGGAGAGACAGATTGGGGGGAATAGGAAACCCTCAGTTGCCCCTTATCACCAATCCAACATCGTATTGACTCTTCCTCTTCGTTTTCGTCTGCTTTTTCCATTGGCCGCCCTATATTTTCCCTGCCTAAAAATATCTCTTTTTGGGGTTTCACAATTCACACTGTGAAAAATGGTTTCCGTTGTGAAATTACCGCTTTGCGCTTGTCATCCCGTGGCAGTTGGAAAAGTCACAGGGGGCTAATTTGGAAACTTTAACGCCTCGTTTGTCAAATCCGTTAGCTACTCAAATTATACGGCCTTTGGACAGTTTAAAATCGAATTCTGATGATTCTGATCAATATAAAAATTTAATACTTATATATTGAAAAATATTGTATTAATTAAAAATAAATATTTATTACTTATAAAAAATATATTAATATTTTGATTGACAAATGTTATATTTTTGAGTTACCTAAGATCATGATGAGCATGCTAAATGTTCTTATTAACAGAAGTTTAGAAGTTAGTTTTGTTATTGTTCTATGTAATAGTGTATAACATGCGTTGGGTTTGTTAGACAAGTGCAAGCACAATGTGTGTGTGGTTTTTTTTTTTTTTGTTTTGTTTTGTTTTGTTTTGTTTTGTTTTGTTTTTTTGTTTTGTTTTGTTTTGTTTTTTTTTTTTTTTTGTGGCAACAAATAGGTTTATTTATTTATTTTATTTTATTAAAAATAATACTAGTATGCATTTTTTTCTCTCTAAAATTACAACTTAACATTCCCTTCTTGCACTAGTATTTTATATGCAATATATGCCCAATATATTAATACTAAATGTGACCATATATCCATTAATGTGTATCCAACTATCAGCTTAGGCTTTTAGTTGAGATGGAGCACATGCTTCAATTTGGTATCAGAGCCAGACCAAAGGTCATGGGTTCGACGAATCTCAACGCCACTCGTAAGCGAATCCACCGTACACGTGAGGAGGCGTGTGAGCATATATCCATTAATGTGTATCAATTCTAAATGTTAAAATTTTAGTTATATTAAAGTATTTTTTAAAATAATAGTATGTGTGAAAACGAGGAGACGGAGGAACAAGGTTAAGAGGCTAAAGGATGGCACGGGGAACTGGGTTGAGGGTGAGGAAGCCGTGGGTGGTGTGATGCTAGATTACTTTCAGACATTGTTTAAAGCAGATGATGGGGACATGCAAGAGGTTATTAGAAATATTGCCACACGGGTTTCTGCTCATGATAACGCAAGAATGTTAAAACCAGTGACTGTAGAGGAGGTCCGCATTGCGGTGTTCCAAATGCACCCGGATAAGTCGCCAGGTCTAGATGGGTTAGGGCCAGGGTTTTTTCAGCAGTACTGGGATATTGTAGGACCGGAGGTTACTTTGTTCTGCCGGGAGTTTGTTGAGACGGCACACTTACCGGAAAGGGCGAGAAACACATATATTGTGCTCATTCCCAAAAAGGCAGTCCCGGAGTCGATGGGGGATTTGAGGCCCATTGCGCTTTGTAATGTGGTGTATAAAATCGCGGCGAAAGTGTGCGCGAACCGTATGAAAATCTTACTGGATGGGCTGATTTCGGGGTCGCAGAGCGCGTTTGTGCAGGGGCGGCTGATTACGGATAACGTTATGTTAGCATACGAGGTCCATCATTACTTGAAACTAAAAACACAGGGGAAGGAGGGGGTGGCCGCGTTGAAGATCGATATGAGTAAGGCGTATGATCGGGTGCAGTGGCGCTTTTTGGAGGCAGTTTTGGTTAAAATGGGGTTTGCCAGGCATTGGGTAAATGTGCTGTTGGAGTCTGTAAGCGCGGTTCGGTATCACATATTATATGAGCAACGGGAGTTAGGCCCAATTGTTCCAGAGTGTGGGTTGAGACAAGGCGATCCACTATCGCCGTATTTGTTTCTGTTCGTTGTGGAGGGCCTTAGTGTGCTGATTGAAGAGGAAATGAGTATGGGCAGATTGCATGGGGCACGGGTTGCAAGAGGGGCTCCCGCAATTTCACATTTGTTGTTCGCGGATGACTGCTTTCTGTTCTTGCGTGCTAATATTCAGGAGAGTGAACGGATGCGCAACATTCTTGATACTTACGCGACAGCGTCAGGGCAACGAATCAATTATGACAAATCTGCCATTTGTTTCAGTGCCAATGTCTCACAGCCGGTTAGGGACGGGGTTGTACAGATCCTAGGGGTCGCGGAGGGCAATACGACTGGCAAGTATTTGGGTCTACCCTCACTGGTAAGACGGAAAAAGAGGGAGATACTTGGGTATTTGAAGGAACGGATTTTAACGAGGGTGCGCAGCTGGAACTCTAAATTTCTTTCACGGGCAGGCAGGGAAGTGTTGTTAAAGAATGTCATCCAAGCAATGCCATCATATGCTATGATGGTATTTTTGTTACCACTTAGCTTATGCAAGGAGATAAGGACTTTAATGAATGGGTATTGGTGGACTGGCTCTGTGGGTTCCGGGAAGGATATAAGGTGGCGTGCATGGGAAGGTTTGGCACAACCCAAGGCAGTTGGGGGGCTGGGGTTCAGGAAACTTCACGAGATGAACCTGGCCCTGCTGGGAAAACAAGCTTGGCGTCTGGTAACCAGGCCATAGTCGCTGGTAGCACGTGTCTATAAGGCGCGTTATTTCCCAAGATGTGCTTTCTTTGATTCAAAAGAGGTGTCAAACCCGTCTTACATTTGGAGGGGATTGCTTGCGGTCAAGGATGTGTTGCGGGAGGGGTGCCGTCGAAGTATCGGTAATGGGCTTGACACAACCATAGGGAACCATGCATGGTTGCCATGTGAGGACAATCCGTTCATCACAACAGCGCTGACTGAGGAGGTAGCTTTGGCCCCGGTTGCAACGCTCCTTAATAATCAAGGTACGGGGTGGGATGTTAATAAGGTTACTAATTTTTTTAATGCCCGGGATGTGTCTATGATCATGAATATACCTGTAAGTCTGCGTAAACCATCAGATTCTTGGTATTGGTACTGGGATCAGAAAGGAGCCTATACCGTTAAGTCATGTTATAAACGTTTGAATGGTGCGGTTTCTGACCAGCGGCCCTGGGCACGTATTTGGAATTTAGGTGTGCCACCAAAAGTACGACACTTTGGTTGGCAGCTAGCAAATTCCTTTTTGCCAACCTGTGATGCACTTAATTCTAAACGGGTGTATTGCTCATTAATGTGTCACATGTGTAGGTTGGAAGACGAGAGTGCAAGACATATGTTTGCTACATGTACAGAGGCGCAAGGTTGTTGGACTAAGCTTGGGATTCCGGTGATGAGCGTTGAACATGGTAATTCTGCCTCGCAGTGGTTTTTAAATAATGTTAAGATGTTAACTGGTGACTTGCTAGCAAAATATGTGATGGCATGTTGGGGTATTTGGACAAGTAGGAATGAGAGTGTTTGGAATGGGGTTGTTTTTAATGCTAATGTTATGCTGCGTAGGACCATGAATTTTTGGGAAAATTGGAGACAAGCGCAGGAGGGGTCTGAACTGCCGGATGAAACTGTGGATGTTAATAATACAAGGTGGTTGCCTCCGCCAGTTGGGAAGTTCAAGCTGAATTCGGATGTTACTGTTAATTTGCCGGCCGGTGCAATGTGTTATGGTTGGGTGCTACGGGGGGATGATGGATCATTTTTTGCTGCGAAGAACGTGCGGGTGCCTGGAACGTATAGCATCAAGGAAGCTGAGGCAATGAGTTTACGAGAGGCTTTAAGCTAGTTAAAGAACACGGGCATGGGTGGTGTTGTAGTGGAGATAGACTCACAGCTTGTTTATAATGCTTTTCTTTCTAGTTCTTTTAATTCGGCTTATGGTTTTCTAGTGGACGATATTAAAAAATTAGCATCGGCAATTGGCGATGTAGAATTCCGATGCGTTAGGCGATCTGCGAACTGTGCCGCCCATGTTGTTGCTAGGGAGGCCTTTTCTGTGGCAGGTTGCGGGAAATGGTTTGATATTCCTCCAGATTTTCTTGTTAGCTGTCTCGCTAATGATTTAATACAATAATCTGTTTTGCTCAAAAAAAAAATAGTGTGTGTGTGTGTATATTTGTTTATATATTTATTTATTTATATATTTATAATTGTAGAATTCATATCTATATTATTGAAGTAAGAATTATAGAAATGATAAATTACTAAATATAGCTATGGTAACATTTAATTAAAATCTAAATAAAATCAAACTTACCATGGAAGAATGTAGGAAAAAGTATTGTGTATGCATGTGCATAGTAATAATGATGTGAAAAGATAATAAAAGTTATAACAGTATGGATATTTTTATACAAAAAATTGTGTAGTACACATTTTATAGCATAAGGTACATAAAAAACGGACATAAACTAAGAGTATAACCTGGATTGAAACTTATTATGTTTGTGGTCTAATGGTACCCGGGTTGGACTTCCATTTGGAAGGTTACGAGTTCGAGCCTCAGTGGAGGCGTTACTGGTTCTTTGTGTTTCTGTAGGTTGAGAAAGTATTCTTTGTGTTTCTGTAGGTTGAGAAAGTATTCTTTGTGTTTCTGTAGGTTGAGAAAGTATATGAACAGATACTACAATGTAACATTCAAATATGAACAGATACTACAATGTAACATTCAAATATGAACAGATACTACAATGTAATAGGGTCAGATACTTAATAATTGATACTGATGTTTTTATTAGACCAAGTCAATCATTAAATTGGGTCATCAAGGGTATTTTAGGCAACATGCACAACAATTAAATAAATAATCAATTGTTATATTATGAATCAGGGATCATATTGCATTGTGAATCATGATTTAAAAATTATGTGTATGTAGTTAACGTATTTTGTACATGTAATTAACAATTTATGTATCTGTAAACAAATTGAATGCACATAACATAGTAATTACATACACATAAATTGTTAGCTGTATGTACATAATATGTTAATGTCTGCAATTAAAATATTCTATACATGCAGTTAATAGTTTATGTGTTTGTAGTTATCATGTTATGTGTATATAATGATCATGTGACGTGTCTTTAATTTATTTACAAATACAGAAACAAGTAACTACATATACATAATTTGAAGGTTATTTTTGGACCAGGGTCCACAATGCAAGGTGGACCTTGACCCATGGTATAATTTGTCATAAATAATACGCAATGTTGTAGGTGTGTGCCCCTTAATCATTATTCTATGGACCATGGTCCACATATTTGTATGAACCATAAATAAAATGTACATTTTTAATATACTAAAACTACATTATTTGTATACATAAAGTACATTATTTGATGGTACATGATTTTTTATATAGTATCAAATAATGTATATTCAGTACACAAATAATGTACTTTTAGTATATTAAAAATGTATATTGCATTCATGGTCCACGCAGCTATATGAAAGATGGTCCACACAATAATTTGCCCGTGTCCCTTTGGTCCGTAATAAAATAATACTTTGTATTAAGTGTTTGGGCTAAATGATCAAGCCCAATATATAAATAGATGCTCAATATATAGCAAGACTATTACAAGGCTTAAATAAATGAACAAGCTTGTCTTGAAGGAGAAGACCCATGGAACTCCTCAATTTTTCTGTCAAAATTTTGGCCCTAGGGGGTATGAATTGAAGGTCTCATCCCTTGCCAATTGAGTCATTCTCGTAAAGTTTTAGATCGTTAACTACATGATCCTGTTATGCTAGTGCTAAAATGAAAGTGATTGGGTTGATAAAATAAGTGTTCGAGTTGGTTAGAAACATGCATGTTCTTATTGTCCATTTCCCACACTCGATCCGTGATCACTACTCACTTGGCCACAACGTAACCGTTATTGTCTTGATTGTACTCGCTCGGGCAACTATGTTGCCATGAGGTGCCATGTTTGCTATAGTTATTGGTGGGTTGCTTCCTTACACTTTTATCCTTCAAATAATTTTCACTGGCTCTATTAATTACCGTACCCTAACACAATAGGCATGTCCCTGACTCCCTGCCCATCTGATGCTTATAATAATAAATACTTATTAAAATAATAATGCTTGTTAGAGTACACTTTGTTATTGTCAAAAGACATTCGAAGTTGTATTTTCGTGTCAATATATTTCCTTCTATGCATCGTCTTAATACTTAATATATTACCCAAAGTTTCTTACCAGGAAAGCAAGATGTAGGCATATATGGAGTGCATCCAAAGTTTTATTGCTTTATTATGGGGCAGGTGTTCATATACTTCTGACCCCAACCAGCACATGCATAATAAAATCCCCCCCCCCCCCACCCAAAAAAAAGAAAAGAAATAGAGCAATCATCATAACTAATCCACATATTTTAATGTTCCCTTCTAACAAATCATTATTTTAGTAATCAATGTAATTACCATTTCAGTCATTTTTTTAATACTTTTAATTTGAATTATTAAAAATATAAATGATACCCAAACTACAAAGAACACCATATTAGTAATTTTACCATGGAAGTCATGGGGTTAAGATCACCCGATTAGAATTCTAAATTTGAACGCGATGACACAATAACCTATTAAAATCATTAGACATGTTAAAATGACGTTTAAAAAAAAAAACTTTTGAACAAAAAATATTTTAAGAAATCTACAATTGAATCTAACAAAATAGAAAAGTTATTCAATTCATGACATATCATAATATACTTAACATGATAAAATAACATTGAAAAAATAAAAATGAATGCTAATTTTAACGAGTTCAGCTGATTAAGCCGTTAATACATGAAATTTAATGAGTTTTTATCAAGTAAATTTTAAGACTAAAAATTAACTTATTATGTTTAATTTTGTATTGTATTAACCGATCATGTAAAGATTGTCAAGTCTTATATATACAAAATAAGAAGAGTTTATAATTGTATTACATATCTTAAAAATTAAAATTATACTCATTATCTTTGATTCTTTGAACATGGTAATTGACTATTGACTATTGATTGGTATAAGATAAAGTTTTTTTTTGTTCTTTATTTCCGTCGGATCTGTGAGTAACACCTTAACGAATCATCAATATTTTATCATCGCATATAGGATGGATAAGAACATAGTCCGTAGTTAATTAGTACGGCCTAGCAATAAAGATAACGAAATTATTTAAGCGTATAGACAAAGAAAAATGCAGGATTAGATTTTGTTTTTTGAAAGTTACTGGCTCTATTACATTGTAGTATCTGTTCATATACTTTCTCAACCTACTGAAACACAAAGAATCAATAACGCCTCCACTAAGGCTTGAACTCATAATCTTCCAATTGGAAGTCCAACCCGGATACCATTAGACCATATAGTCCTGGTGCAGGATTAGATTTAAATGCGTAAAATTAAAAAAGTGGTCCTAAAACAAACAGGAAGTGCAACGTTATGGAGGAGACGTGCAATCCGAGTCAAGCTAAGAAGTTTCGCGATAAGCGTCGGCCGTGCGCGGGGGGTTGAGAGTTACCGGCTACGACGCGTCACAACCGCTCCACCACTCTCGCCTCTATCGTCTTGCTTCACGCGCTCTGCTTCATACTACCCAAGTAAGTAATACAAACCACGGATGATTGTGTTCATTGCCAACCCTATATAGATAGGTATTATTTAGAGTTATTTATGTTTTTAGTTAAAGATTTATAGGTAATATAATATTTGACTTTTTTTTTAAACATCATTGATCCTATTATTATTGTTGGTATGATTATTTTCGATCATCTGTCAACAAATATGTTTAAATTACATTAAATATTTAAGTCTATTTAGTTCTAGCTAAGTGATACTTTTTCTAAAAAAAAATTTATATGCATCATTTTACTGTTGCGAAGGATCAAGTTGTGGAGGCATTACTATAGAGGCACGGATTGCAATTGAAAAAGAGAGGTGACTCTAGCTGTGAATTATTAGAGATTTTTTTTTTTTTTGTAAAATAATAAAAATAAAAATAGAACGAGTCAACTCACTTTATATAAAAAGGACCGTAATGTTATCATATTTAATGTTATTTAAACTAATTTGTTGACGGATGATAAGAAAATAGTCATACTACTACAATATTACAATAATATTATGATCAATATGGAATATTTTGAAAAAAAATACTAAAAGTGGTATTTGGGTAATAGAATAATAAATATTGTGTGACTATTATATCTAATCTTAGTATCCAAAAAAAGGAAGATATATTACCATGTTTTTTTGGGTGAAGAAGATATATTACCATGTTAGCTATTCACTTTATTACATACAAATTATTTAAGAACTTAAAAATCAACATCATTCATCTTAAACATAATTAATCAAAATATCCATTTCATACAATTAAAAACTTTTAAATTACATCCACATGCTCTAGGGACAAGGTCTTATAGATTTAGTATTAATTCGACAAAATTAGAATTACTTAAGTTAAAAAAAACTTATAAATTAAATCTAAAAAATCTCCCATATACAAAAATAGATTCGGATATTATAGCAACCAACCAATGATAAACTCAAATAAAGATTTTTTATTTTTTTTTTACTTCAAATAATATAATTGAATATGCCAACTACCATGTAATGTGATGACATCCCGGTTACCATTCTAAATGAATAGTCATAGTTTCAAACACTAGTGGTGGAGACTTAGATTCTTTGGGCAGATTAGATATTACCTTGTAAAGAATCATGAGTATTAAAAAAAATAAAAAATATATAATTGAATATAATTATTACGTTATGTAAATTTTTTATATTAAATTTCGAATTAATTGTTACAAACCGTAAATGTATAAATTATTTTCACTGATATGTATATTAAAAAAATAACTTTATTAAAAGTTTTATGGATCGATATTAAAATATGGAGTGGGTGACCACATAAATTTACCATATTCACGTGAGGGGCATTAAATGCGTGTCGTGCACGTCCTTCTGTAACGCGTTCTGTCCACTCCCTTGCATAAACCTACCAAAGACTTAAACCTCAGAGCTCAGTCTTCAGAAAAAGGAAATAAGGAAAACGTTCAGCAATATCTCTCTCTCTCTCTCTCTGTGATCCATTGTCGGAAACCTACAAACCATGGCCAAAACAGCGGTGGCGGAGCCACCGACGCCGCCATCAAATCTCAACCTCACCACCGCCACTGGCGCTGCCGATGGATTGGAGGACGTCCTCCCAATTTCACCTCTGGAAGCCGCACACATGTTCCAAAACGACGACGTGGTGATGGACGACTTCGACTTCCCCTTCGACTTCTCCTTCGATGATTTCTGCCTTCCCTTCGGTGCGGATAATTCTCTCAGTCAAAATTTCCTACCAGTTTCGCTCGACCAGGCCGGTTGTGATCCGGTGCAGGCGCAGCTTGATGTAGGTCCCACTTGTTACGTGCAACCCGGGTCTGGCTGTGAACCGATCGGGGCGTTTAAGAATTCTGCTAGCATTTTCAAGTCGTCGTCTTCAGAACTGTGTCATTTCTCCGCCGATCAGATTGCCGGAGACGCCATGCTTCTGAATTCTGTTTCGCCGGAGCTAAGCTCGAGCTCTTCTAGGGTTTTGGTCGTGAACTCGCCGGAATCTCAGCAGATTTACGGAGATGTCTCTGGATACCTGAATGTTCCATCGCCTGAGTCGAATGGGTCTAATCGCGAGGCTTCTCAGCGGTCTGGAAATGAAAACCAGGGCTCGAGTGGAGATGTGGTTTTGAATTGTCCTTCGCCAGAGTCTGAGGGTTCGGGCAACTGTGGTCCCAACGTCTCTGCAGCGCCGGATTTACTGTCCACGGACTCGGATAAATCGGTAAATTCTTCTACTGACTTTGGCAATAATTCAATAAAGATTGGTGTGGTTGATCAGAAAATCAAGTTGGAGGAATTGAATGCTAATATTAACAATTGTAGTAACTCTATGTTAAAGAGGAAAAAACAGGCTGAAGATACTAATAATGTGGAGTCTAGGAGTAGCAAATATAGAAAACCAGTTGATGACACAAACACCGAGAATAACAGTGAAAATAATGATAATATCACTATTGAAGAGGAAGAGAAGAGGAAAACAAGATTAATGAGAAATCGGGAGAGTGCTCAGCTCTCGAGGCAAAGGAAGAAGCATTATGTTGAGGAGTTAGAGGATAAAGTGAGGACAATGCATTCAACTATCCAAGATTTGAATTCCAAGATATCTTATATAATGGCCGAAAATGTTAGCTTAAGGCAGCAGATGGGTGGGAATGGTGTGGCTGTTGCGCCCCCAATGCCTCCCCCAGGGATGTATCCACCCGTTATGTATCCGTGGATGCCATGTGCCCCACCTTATATGGTGAAGCCACAGGGGTCGCAAGTGCCATTAGTTCCTATTCCAAGGTTGAAGCCACAACAAACAGTCTCAGCACCTAAGAGTAGTAAGAAAGTGGAGAGTAAGAAGAATGAGCCAAAGACTAAAAAGGTTGCTAGTGTTACTTTCCTTGGCTTGTTATTTTTTATATTGGTAGTTGGAGGATTGGTTCCCACGGTGAATGTAAGATATGGGGGAATAAGAGAGGCATTTACTGGGAATACCAGGAGTGGGTACTATGAAAAGCACCCTGCTAGAGTGTTGGCTGTTAATAGAACTGGACAAGGTGAGAGTTCTGCGCATGGAAAACATTCTAGTGATGTTACCCATTTTGGTGTGCAAGGTCATGGTGGTGGAGGAGGAAAGCAACATAGTGAGCAAGATGCTGATGAGTTTGGTCAGTCAGGCAATGGTAGTGTGCCCCTTGCAGCCTCCTTATATGTTCCGAGGAATGACAAGCTTGTGAAAATTGATGGTAACTTAATCATTCATTCTGTTCTGGCAAGTGAGAAAGCCATGGCATCTCATGTGAGTGCTGAAGAAAAGGTTAGTCAAGAGACAGGTCTAGCAGTTCCTGAAAATATGGCCCCTGCTATTACTGCTGGAAGGCATCCTCATATGTACCAAGGTGCAGCTGAACGGCAAAGGGCTCTTGGTTCTGATTCTATGGGTAAGGACAATATGAGGTCAACGGGAGCTGATGGTAGGCTACAGCAATGGTTCAGAGAAGGCCTTGCCGGTAAAATTCAATATTCATAACCTATTACCATTGCAAACTATCTTAGTGTTTTTATTGAATTGATGAACTTCTTTACTTGACATCTCTGCATAATTTAAGGTCTTGCAAGTAGGGCTGTCAGCCTGTAAATGAACACATCCATTTGCAAAACAAAGTTCGACTCTCTTTGAATGAGCTCAAATCAAGCACTTTGCCTATTTGTTTGAGTGGCTTGATTTGTGTAGTGTATGTAATGGAATATATTAATATCACCCACCTATTATGGACATTAAATAAATAAATATGGAGTTTTTATCTAATGTTTATGTGTGTGTATCTATCTATTTACATTTTACAGTGACCTGACACTCTTAGAGTAATTTAGTGCCTCGTGAAAGACCGGCGAATACTTGTCTACTAAGTTTTTACTTTATATCAAGTATGCTGAATGTGTTATATCAAATAAGATAGTTTGGCTTGTTTGCAATATAGCTTGTTTATATTGTTTACCAAATATATCATGCATTTTTCTTGTAATATTGTGGGTGCAGGGCCGATGTTAAGCTCTGGTATGTGCAGTGAGGTGTTCCAGTTTGATGTGTCATCAGCAATAGTTCCAGCAACTTCCATGAGGGATGTGTCTCTAGAAGAAACTCGGAATAGTACAAAGTCAAAAAAGGGAAGAAATAGAAGGATTCTTAATGGTCTTTCTGTTCCCCTTTCTGCAACATCTCACAACATCTCTGAAGAAACTGCTGAAATAAGTGGAAACAAAGAAAAGCTGAAAGGGAATAACAATTCACTGTCTTCAATGGTTGTTTCTGTGCTTGTTGATCCAAGAGAGGGAGGCGATGGTGACGTTGATGGCGTGATGGGAAAGAAGTCTCTTTCCCGGATTTTCGTCGTTGTACTGGTAGACAGCGTCAAGTACGTCACATACTCATGCATGCTCCCGTTCAAGGGCTCGGTCCCTCATCTAGTGACTACCTGAGGAAGGAAGAGGTGTTCAATAAAACATATGACAGATAGCAAGTCCACCCATCTTCTGAAGCAATTTTGTAGAAAGCAAAATGTCTAAGTAGTAGTGCTTACAGCTGAGCAATAGCCATGCATGGAACTTGAAGAACCAACCCTCTGCTAGGATGAACGATCTGATAGAGGATAACACCCTGGGAAGGGAATATCTAAGACTTTTTTTTTTTTTTTTTTTTTTTTTTTTAAATCTTCTGTAGCTTCTCATGTAACCTGAACCAGAACCATGATGCAGCCATTTCTAACTTGTGTATGAGAACACATATATATTTCCCTTATGTGTTTATCAATGTAATTTATTGTTTCTTTCAGTTCCATTTGGATCTGTAACTTTCAGCTTTCTACTAACTCCAAATGTGCCTGTGTTGAGCATATAATCATTAATATGCAATCAACTATCAGTTTAGACTTTTAGTTGAGATGAAGCATATGCTTCAATTGCCTGCAGACAGTATTCTCTTTCTCTCTCATTAATGGCATTGTTTTTGTGCTTTCGGTCCCCATAGCCATAATTTAATTTTTTAGGGACTCGTAGTCTATTACATATATACATGTTATTTTATAGCAGGTAAAATAGATAAATTAACAAGTTAATAGATGAGTCTGTCCATTTTCTTTTTATTTAATCATTGAGCATGATCACGAGATTAATGAAGTGTATTAATTTTCTAAAAATGATTAAAGTGTGATTTGGGTTGTCTTGGCTTCAAAGAGAATGTTTTGTGGCGTTCACCTTCCTGGGGCGGTTGGGCACGACAAGACAACACTAATACTCCGTACTTTGTACATACATTCTCTCAGAAACATAAACATAGACGAAATATAATGATATATTTATTTCTTTTTATCATTAATTATTATTATTGATTATTGATTAATTGTTTATTCAGAAAATGGGAGTAATAGCATTAGAAACATCGAATTGTAGCTGGCTGGAATGACAGGAAATCAATCCAGACTGAAGCATATCACAAGAACCGAAACCTTTCCCCCATAGATCTTCTTCTTCTCTTCTTCGTTGTTCAGGTTGAAAACAGCAGAAGAGAGAGAGAGAGAGAGAGAGAGAGAGAGAGAAAACTGTAAACTCCCCCCTCTAGGGCACGCGACTGGATCTCCCTCCATCACATTAAAGTTTCAATCTTTGTTTCTGGGTAAGTATTAAAGTTTCAATTTCACATATGCCCATTTCGCAAAAAACATTACTTTCCCCCACCCCTTATTCTTGAATGTTTACGAGGTTTCTACGGCCATTCGTAGTATTTGGTGATTTTGGTTGTGGAATTGTTTAGTATTTTCCGCTAATGTAAGCCCAGTTATGTTTACATCATTACTTTTTTAGGTTCTTTATTTGTTCTGTTTTTGTACTTTCCGTTGTTGTTATCAGAGAGGAGAGGGTGGATCTATTTATGGTATGATTTATTTTTTATATTTCTTGTCTCAAACAAATACTCTGTAAATTGACAAAATCCCCATTTTCTTTTCTGGGTAAACTATGTTGAACTTGAAATATATTTCTGTTGCCATTTCATCAAGTTACGTAGGTATTGAATTTTGATGAATGTATGTATGCAGGCTTTGATTAGAATCATGAGTTCTAAAACTAAGAGGAGGACTGTGGCAGAGAATGGCGATGCTGCTGAGGATACTGTTCTTGTTACTATGATAAACAATGGGGACGATTTAGGTCCTTTGGTGAGGCATTCTTTCGACAGTGGGAAGCCGGAAGCCCTCCTACATCAGCTTAAAAATGTGGTCAAGAAGAAAGAAGTTGAAATAGAGGAGCTTTGCAAGCTTCACTATGAGGATTTCATTGTTGCAGTGGATGAGCTTCGCGGTGTATTAGTTGATGCAGAAGAGCTCAAAAGCGAACTTGCATCTGAAAATTTCAGGTTGCAAGACGTTGGAAGTGCCCTGCTTTTGAAACTCGAAGATCTTCTTGAATCCTATTCGATTAAGAAGAATGTTACAGAGGCGATTAAGATGTCCAGGAATTGTGTCCAAGTTCTGGAGCTTTGTGTCAAGTGTAATACCCACATTTCTCAGGGGCAATTTTATCCTGCTCTCAAAGCTGTAGATCTTATTGAGAAAAATTATTTGCAGAACATTCCCGTGAAGAAGCTCAAGGCAATCATAGAGGTAAGAATACCGCTAATAAAGTCACACATTGAGAAGAAAGTGTGCACTGAAGTCAATGAATGGCTTGTCCATATAAGGAGTACCGGGAAAGATATTGGGCAGACTGCGATTTCATATGCAGCATCAGCTCGCCAGAGGGATGAAGATATGCTAGCTCGTCAAAGAAAGGCTGAGGAACAGAGTTGTTTGGGTTTGGGACATTTCAGTTATAGCTTGGATGTTGAAGAAATAGATGAAGAATCCATTTTAAAGTTCGATCTTACACCACTTTACCGAGCCCACCACATTCACAAATGTCTTGGATACCCAGAGCAGTTTCGCGAATACTACTACAAAAATCGGTTCTTGCAGCTAAGTTCAGATTTGCAAATTTCCTCAGCTCAACCGTTTCTTGAATCCCATCAGGGTTTCTTGGCTCAGACTGCGGGGTATTTTATTGTTGAGGATCGGGTAATGCGGACTGCTGGTGGGCTTCTATCACCGAGTCAGCTCGAGACGATGTGGGAAACGGCTGTGGCCAAAGTTACTTCAGTCTTGTCGGACCAATTTTCCCATGTTGATAGTGCCAGTCATCTTCTCTTGGTGAAGGATTACGTGACTCTTTTTGGGGCAACCCTCCGAGATTATGGCTACGAAGTGGGCTCAATTCTCGAGACTCTCAATAGTAGCCGTGAAAAATATCATGAACTTCTTTTGGCAGAGTGTAGGCAACAAATCATGGGTATCATCACGAATGATACATATGAACAGATGGTAATGAAAAAGGAGTCGGACTACCAGGCAAATGTTTTGGTATTTCATCTTCAGACCTCTGATATAATGCCCGCATTCCCTTTCATTGCTCCCTTCTCGTCTATGGTACCCGATTGCTGTCGAACTGTTAGAGCATTCATCAAGGATTCGGTTAATTATTTGTCTTATGGAAGCCAAATGAACTTTTTCGATTTTGTCAAGAAGTATTTGGATAAGCTCTTAATTGATGTCCTAAATGAAGCAATACTCGACACGATTCACAGTGGCACGACTGGTGTGTCTCAGGCTATGCAAATTGCTGCAAATATAGCTGTTCTAGAAAGAGCGTGCGATTATTTTCTTCAACATGCAGCCCAACAATGTGGGATCCCTGTCCGGTCAGTTGAAAGACCTCAAGGCAGTTTAACTGCCAAGATTGTTCTCAAAACTTCTAGGGATGCTGCTTATCTTGCTTTGTTAAGCTTGGTAAACGACAAGTTGGAAGAGTTCATGTCACTCACAGAAAACGTGAACTGGACGGTAGAAGATGCTCCCCAGGGAGGAAATGAGTATATTAACGAGGTGCTTATTTACCTCGACACCCTTATGTCCACTGCTCAGCAAATTTTGCCTCTTGATGCTTTGTATAAAGTCGGGAGTGGTGCACTCGAGCATATTTCCAACTCCATTGTGGGAGCTTTTCTTAGTGACGCTGTAAAAAGATTCAACGTTAATGTTGTGATGGGCATCAACCAAGATTTGAAGGCATTGGAATCTTTTGCTGATGAGAAGTTTCACAGCACCGGGTTGAGCGAGATATACAGCGAAGGAAGCTTCCGAGGATGCTTGATAGAGGCTAGACAATTGATAAACCTTCTGTTGAGCAGTCAACCGGAGAACTTCATGAATCCTGTGATACGGCAGAGGAACTACTATTCTTTGGATTATAAAAGGGTTGCGACTATCTGTGACAAGTACAGGGACGCTGCTGATGGACTGTTCGGAAGTCTTGCAAGAGGAAATACTAAGCAAAGTGCCCGTAAAAAATCCATGGACACGCTGAAGAAAAGACTAAGGGATTTCAACTGAGAAATCGTAATATATGGATTAGAAAGTAGCTTCTTTTTGTTTTTCCTTAATTTTTTTTTTGTGATTGAAAATAAACGAATTCTTTTATTTGCTGCTGAATTTTCAGAAATGAGGAGTGTTACTTTTATTGTTCTGCACACTGTCTCTTTCCTTATTTTCAGGTGCTCTCTGTCTCTGTCTCCTCAATCCCCCTCTCCCCGAAAGAGAAAAAAACTCTCCCCAAAAGAGAAAAAAGAAAAAAACTTTGACAGGAAAAAAGAAAAAGGATTAAATGGGAGTGAAATTATTTGCAGCACATGTTTTCTAGAGCACCTCAGTTGCCTCTATGGCAATGTATAGGCTGTGTGATTTTGTAAAACAATTGTTTTTAATGTGTACTTAATTATGTTTTTCCTGAGCTTTCATTGATTTGATTTAGAATAACTATGATATTTGATCTGCCATGCATTGTGAATTAGTGTGGATTGATATTTTTAATCTAATGGATTTTGTTTATTTTCATTTGATAGATAAACGGAGGTGAGGTTCTGCACTCTTTGTGGTACGTACTTGGTTTACTTCAACATCTAATTATGCATCTTTATTCAGTTGTTTACTTATTTTTCCATATTTTTGTACTCTGATGCACAAGTCTTTTGTTTATAAAGACATTGCTATTCTCGGTGGTTGGTTAGTTGAAGTATTTTTGAATCATGCACAATTAAGTCATAATTATCTTACCCTCACACTTGGAGTTAAACTATATTTGTACTGAGTTTCACCAAAATCTAATTTCGCATGCCTATAATCCTATATGCTTTTTCTGGGCTTATCATATGCTTACATTGCCTCAGTTTGGTTACATTTCTCATTTTGGGTTTTTTACATTTCTCATTTTGGGTTTTTTATTTCTGCAAAAATGTTTTTGTCTAAGTATGTGTGAAGTGAAAATGATATGATGTCATTGAACTTAGGTGATAAAGTAGACATTAGTGTACAGTTGATGCTTGGCATGATACTCTTTACAGGTTCTGATTTGTTGGCAATTGATATAAATTGATTTTGAAGCTGTTGTATCATGCAACATTTGTGAAGGAAGATGCACAAAATGACACTCTTTCCACTATAACCATAGTCTTTCTCTGTTAGTTGAATCAAGTGTATGTATTATAGGTGAGGGCATAATTTGATTGGTTTACTAATCTAAATAAGTTAATAGTTTGATTGGGGTACGATTGTTTTTGTCTGTATATATGTTATAGCTATGTGGGGATGGCGGAATGATAGCTGATGTGATATAAATGTCGCGGACTTGTTCTCGCTAACGACGTCACGTGCGGCAAGGCAAGTAAAGCTAACGACGTCACGTGCGGCCTATGAGTAAGGCAAGAATCTCACAAAGAAGTTTAAGAACGACAAGCTCTCTAAGGAACTTAGATTACTTGAACTCATGGATGGTTACAAATGAGCACCCATGAGGGGTATTTATAACCATTCCACCTCCCCCAATGAATGATGGCGATTTACTTGATCTAATGGCTAATAATCTAGCTCTAGAACATTCTCTAAATCTCTACACAAACTAAGGGTTCTCTAATGTTTTAAAACATTCTATATATCTCTATTACCTCTAGTGTTAGGTATATGTTTCTAAAATATTCTATCAACTATGAGATGTTATGTACAAGTGCTAAAAAACTCCAGAAAGATGTAGTAAACCTCGAAAATGTATAGCAAAGGTGCACGGGCGTTACATAAAGCTCACCAAGTAGTGTGCAACCACCTAGTTCACATACTACAAACCTTGATAAGGATGAATATAATGCACCAGTACATATCAAAACCCTACATATCTTTCTACTTTTTCTTCTAGGATACAGATGTTGGCTAGACATCCTTAGCAAATCCAAAGTCCATTGACTAGTTTGGGAGTAGTGGCTACAAGAAAACAAAGGGGGGGGGGGGGGGGGGGGGGGGTGAGTGGGTGTGGGGACTGCATTTGACTGGATTACAAATTGGGAAGGCTCACAGACCATTTGATCATTGGGGCTGTGTGGGACATATAAAAATCTTTATATGTATATATAATTATATATATACATATGATTTTTGTACTCTTTCTCCTACACCAACCACTCCGATGCAGAAGTCTTTTGGTTTCTTTTATCATATGCTTACATTGTTACTTGTTCTAGGTTCTCATCTTTGTCACCAATATTGACTGGACATTTTCTTCCTGTAAGGGGAGAGCCCCTGCCTCTGCTTGGTTTATTCCAAAAACATTTTTCCCATTTTGTGTTTTATGTTTCTGCAAGAATTTTTTTGTCTAAGCTTAAGTACGTCATAGAATAAAGTAAAAATGATATGATGCCATTGAACTTATGTGACAAGGTAAAACATGAGTGTACAGTTGATGCTTGGCATGATAGCTCAATAGGTGTTTGATTTGTTAGCATTATATATTTTATGTTATATTTAGCTTGGCATGATACTCTTTACAGGTTCTGATTTGCTGGCAATTTTTTGAGTGTGATATAATTGATTTTATTGAAGTGTAGAGTGTAAAGCTGTTGTATCATGCAGCATTTGTAAAGAAAGAAGATGCACAAAATGACACTCTTTCTCCTATAACCAGAGTCTTTTTGTTAGTTGAACTAAGTGTATGTATTATCGGTGAGGACATAACTCGATTGGTTGACTAATCTAAATAAGTTAATAGTTTTGTTTCGCTGGCATTGTAGGATGCAAAGTTCGATTCTTATCAAGGGGTATGGATTGTAGGCATGGGTGTATCTGACTAATCTAAAGAAGCTAATAATAGTTTTGTTTCACTGACAGTTGCAGGATGCAGTGTCCGATTCTTACCGAGGGGTATGAAATTAACCTTGTTGTAGGCACTAGTGTAGTTTCAGGACAGTACAAAGACAATGAGGACTTTCGAAATTGGGGTACGATCCTGGAGGGTTTTCGGGATTCGGGTACGATTCTTTTTGTGTGTGTATATGTTATAGGTATGTGGAGATGGAGGAATGATGGGTGATGTGATATAAAGCTCACCCAAGTAGTGTGCAACCACCTAGTTCACACACTACAAACCTTGATAAGGATGAATATAATGCACCAGCACAGATCAAAACACTACATATCTTTCTACTTTTTCTTCTAGGATACACATGTTGGCTAGACATCCTTAGCAAAGCCAAGGGGGTGAGGGTGGGGGGGGGGGGGGGGGTGGAGTGGGTGTGGGGACTGCATTTGACTGGATTCCATATTGGGAAGGCTCACAGACCATTTAGCAGCAACTTGCATTATCACCCTTTGATCCTTGGGGTTGTGTGGGACATATAAAAATCTTTATATGTATATATAATCATATATATACATATGATTTTTGTACTCTTTCTCCTACACCAACCACGTATGTTTCCAGCATAGGTAAGCAGATATGTCAGCTAAATGTGCTACTTTTTGCCTAATCATCACCATCTGATATGGTTGTCAACCATTCTTCAAACTTATTTATTTATGTGCTTTTTAAAAATTTTAAATGGTTTGTAGTTTTGTGAAAATTATATAAGTTGATAGATAACTTAAAATATCACCGAGCTTTTGGGAAATATTCATGTTAGCATTATTGCGATGTATTTCATTGATACCCGTTGAGGTTGGATGGAATAGGTCGTGTGATGTTCCAAGTAGCTATAGTGTTAATTTGGTTCAAATTAAACGATGTATCGTTAAATTAGAACTATAATTAGAACCGTTGAGCTAGAATTGTTCAAGGTCACGATTATTCCCGAAGAATGAAAATAATATTGTTTCAGTTGTTCTGACTATTATTATTGTTTTTTTTTTTTTTTTTTTTTTTTTTTTTTTTTTTTTTTTTTTTTTTTTTTTTTTTTTTTTTGGGGTGAGGGGGTGGGGGAGTTTGAAATATCTAAAATCAAAATGCCTAACAAAAGATGTATTATTGGCAATATAATTATGAACATATTAGTAGGCACCTTTAAAGGGAATGATTATCTACTTATCCACCAAATAGAATTAGTTATTCCCATAATCCCATTCTTCTTGGGAGAAGGTATTTTTAAATATGAAAATATTAGCATTTATGATAATATTAAAGAATTAATATATTAAATAATAAGTTTAACGTAATAAATTTGAGTATTGTAGACGGTAGTTAAAAACTTTATTTTTCATATTTGTGCCCCACTTCAATTATTGTGAACAATGACTTTTCTTTGATGGCAATTTTTAGAAAACTTTATTTTAATCGCTAAACTATTGCATTTTACTGTTTTATCATTGAAAACTTGTTAGGAATTAATTTTTTTTAATAGATTTATAATTTTTTAAAACTGATTTATCTGATATAGTGACAACAATATAATGGTAGGTATTCACATGATAATATGACTAGATTAAAAATATCAGTCAATTATTATATAGTGTAATGACATCTCTATCATCATTCTAAATGGGTGATCACATGATCAAAAGGATAAAACGAATAAATATTACCTTATAAAGAATTATGAGTCTTTCAAATATTAAAAATATCAAATTTTTGTAATAAAGACTGGAACATACTATATATCGATCTTAATAATGACAATTTAAAGGCACTGATTTTTTATTTTTTATTATTATTTTTTTGTTTTTGTTTTTTTAAAATTTTGAAAACCTATGCATTATCAACAACTGGCCAGGTTTGGAATCTCTTTCATGCCAGAAACCTTTTCTTCTTTTCTAAAGGTTGAACCACAATCCTAAAGACTCCACACACTCCGACTCGACAGAACATCTTGAAAGATGTAAATCATAGTAACTCAATTGAACATGAATCAAAGAGGCTAGGCCTTTGCCAAAAGCCTTTTCTTTGGTAGATTGTTGGAGGTTTTCAACCTTAAACTATGGAAACAAAGATTATCAAAGACGATCGATTGATCTTTTGATCAGATCTTGTATTAGTATTAGCAAGTAATTGAATTTGTATTTAGTAAAAGGTGTTTATGTTCTCAGGACCGGATTTTAGGCTGTGCAAGCTGGGCTACCGCACAGGGCCCCCAATTTTAGAGGGGCCCCAAATTTTAGAGGTCCAATATTTAATATTTACCTAGCTTGTTTAGAATAAAAATTAAAAGTTTACAATTAA